GCATGAGCATGAGCAGGTTGCATGCCCGCAAGCGTGCCTGCAACGCGGCTGCCGAGCACGGGCGCTATGGGTTGTTTCATACTGCAGTCGCTGCAGAGACGACAGTCGATCGATTGACATCTTTTGCCCGCCTCAATATGACTGCAGCTGCTGCAGCGACTGCAGTATATAACAACTCAAAGTACCGTAATCGTCGCGGATATCAACTCAAAGTATTGTTAATCGGCAGCAACCAGTGGTCCCGGCCTCCTACTTCTAGGAGCGCTCGCATCGCGGATCCGCGACAGGCTACTTGCCGGAAAGCAATTGAAACTGCGGGAAGCGGGAAAGCCCTCCAGGATCCTATACACCGCCTCGTCTCCTAATCCTTGAGCAACAACGAAATTTGGAAATACTCGTATCCGAATCGCCCCAGTTGAAGGAAGTGTCCGAGCAAGAACTAATTTCTAATTACATCGCCAACCTAAGCTTATCCGCAGTGTTGTCCCGAAGCATCAGAGAAAACGCGAAAACGGTGAAAAAGCGTTTCTCATTGTTAAAGACCTTCGATTTGAATTTGGACGAACAGAGCATTCTAGCAGACGCTGAGGATTGGACCAGATTGCGTGGCGTACGCAGTGTACGTCGCCAAGTCTGGTGTAACCCTGAGACGCAAGATCGCTGTAGGACCTTATCATCTTGATTGCAGAGGCGTGCACACTCTTGTCTGCAGCTGGAAACCGCAGACAGTCTGGGTTCCCGTTTGCGCGTAAGCCTCCCAACTTCTCAGGCAGTTTTTCGTCCTGGTCCAACGTTATGACTTCTCACTTGTGCCAGGAATTGTCCTATGGCGTTTACTTTTACATGCAAAGAAACCCCGCACACCTCAGTTTTGACCAGACACGCCTTTGAGAATTATTAGGTTGGCACACAAGTTTTGCAACTTTTACCATAACCTTTTTCTTATTTTGACCTAACGCTCTCATTCCCTGGCATTATGTAGGCTGTGGCATAAGCTGCAAGCCTGCATAAACCGTTTGATTTTTGGTAATTTAATACAATTTGAACATTTTTCAAAACCCTTGAAAATCGAGGTTCCAACGTTTTTTGGCAACCAAGCGGCCGTACAAAACCTGAATCAAACATGTCAAAAAATTATAGGCAGTATGAAGCTAGGAGTTGACCGTTAGAATCAGTAGAAAAGAAGTGAAGTTTAAAAACAAGTTGAAATAAGGCGCCCTTGAGACATCATAATCCATACATTACCAGAAAGTGGATTTAAAAAAGACAAAACTCACATAAAAAGTTGCCTTACTTATGTGCCAACCTAATACATGACCAAACCTCAAAAGCCAATAGTTTCCAAGTTTCCTCTCTTCTTGACCTCGGCATTGTTAGTATGTTGTGAGTAGATTAGGCCAGTCGAGGTTAGTGTTTATTAGTAAGTGGCGGCCTAACGTTTTGAGCTATTCGTCTTCTTCAGAGACCTAAAGTGATAAGAGATTTATGATTTTACCAGTGCGTCACCTCCGCAAAGCGGAGGTGACGCACTGGCTCCCTATCCGTAGGCCTTTATATTCGCATGAGAATGGCTTTAACTCACCACGCGATGCTGAGCATCACAAATGAATCGTAAACAACTGTTCATTAAGGAAGGATCTAATGTAAGATTGGTGATTTTGAAAAAAGAAAACTTTTGCAAGGACAAATGCGAATTTGAACGGATTACTGGATTTATCCTAGTTTGATAATCGTCATAAGGATAATAGTCACCTCGGGTACATTTCAGTGCAAAAATCTTTTCAGTTTTTTCAAATATAACCTTGCCAAATCGACTATCTACGCGTTCATCACTTTTTGGCGCTGTTTTCGCAAAAAAGCAAACGTTTTGAGCACTTTTGGGCTAGAATTCGCGCAGAGTTACTTGTCAGGCAAATCATAACTTTGCAGAAAGTCGAATTAGCCACCCAGTTTTGCGTGCCAAAAGGTGCGTGGACCCGTTTGACGCGCAAATTTTGAGGGACCCGCTTATCGAACCGGCTCTCCTTGTGCATGGTGGGCCTACACGCTGGCACGGTATGTTATGCAAAATTGCAGCTTAGTTACAGCTTCCTCTATGAATTTGACAGATTGAATGTGACAGTCAGATTTTTACACAGACACACACACACACACGCAAAAAAAACAGACGGCCTCAGCGCGTTATTATACAGTGCTGGTCAAAACTATAATTCCACCCTGAAAACTGCCGTAACTCATCTGCTTCTCAACGAATTGATTTGAAATCTGGTATAGTTTTGTGTTTAACGGGTTACCATCAGTAACCAGAACGGATCCCGTTTTTGTTTGCTTATTCAGGAAAAAATCAAAATTCGAAAAAAAAGCAGGCTTGAAGGTTGGCCAAAACTATAATTCCACCTACGGTTTCTGTCCACTAAAGTAATTCTCAGCTTCCAAAGTATTCGGTGCATATACATAATCAAAAGTCAAAGCAGTCACTTCACTCCAGCTGTGTCATACGTTTATGAGAAACGTTTATCTGCTTTTTTTCGCTCAAAAATACTTTCATGCGTATTTCGTTCCCAAGAATGTGTTTTTATGGGTAATTTCGCAGTTTTTTTGACAGGTTTAAAAGCGATAGGGCTCCACCTATCTTATAGATGCTTATCGAGGTGAGAACTAGAAAAAAATTGGAGTTTTCATATTTAAAGCGCACCCGACATAGACCTTACAGCAAGCCTGCGTTCAAATTTTTGCCTCCAAAGTTAGTTTGTGTTATTTTTGTAAGCTCAAAATGATGTGAAGCATCTATTGCATAAAAAAGAACTTTGTACACTATACTTGCGATTGTTGGCCAAGTCACATTTTGCTTCGTTTTCAAAGCATAAATCTTCGCGTTTCAATGATAATATTTAGGCAATCCCAAAATACGTACCTAGTGGTACCTTTCCTGGGTTGCTACTATTTAGCTTCTAGATAGTGTAAACACCCTGCATGCATGATGCATTGTGACTCACATGAGCATTACGATCAGAACCAAGAATAAGTTCAAGGCTTTTTGCAAATCAGTTTTTGCAGGAAGTCCTCAATTAACCTGCATGCTAAGAACTGCGGAAATCCGTAAATACTGCATACGGACTCTCATACGTACAGACAATGTTATTACTTCACTTCACGCTCATAAGAACATTGCAGAAGGAGTTTGAGGGCATAAATTTGAGCGCAGGCCTGCGGTTAGCTCTATGTCGCGTGCGCTTTAAATATGAAAACTGCCATTTTTTTCTAGTTCTCACTTCGCTAAGCATCTGTAAAATAGATCCAGCCCTATCGCTTCCAAACCAATCAAAAGACTGCGAAATTACTCATAAAAACATATTCTTGGGAACGAAATACGCATGAAAGTATTTTTGAGCGAAAAAAAAAGCAGATAAACGTTTCTTATAAACGTATGACACAGCTGGAGTGAAGTGACTGCTTTGACTTTTGATTATGTATATGCACAAAGTACTTTGGAAGCTGAGAATTACTTAAGTGGACAGAAACCTTAGGTGGAATTGTAGTTTTGGCCAACCTTCAAGCCTGCTTTTTTCGAAATTTTTGATTTTTTCCTGAATAATTTAACAAAAAGGATCCGTTTTGACTACTGATGGTAGCCTGTTGAACGCACAACTGTACCAAATTTCAGATCACTTCATTGAGAAGCAGATGAGTTACGGCAGTTTTTAGGGTGGAATCATAGTTTTGGCCAGCACTATATGATTTTATGTGTACCCCACCAAAAACCTCCTCCATCCCCGGCTAGCCTTGACGTTGCCCCAGAATGCCACAAACAAAAACTCCATAACCTAGACGAACTAATCTTCTCCAACGCCGGCGCAGATATTGAAAGCGGCCGTCCTTCAGTGCCACTGATACCAATAATGGAATACACTGTATACCATACTCGAATTAATCAGTGGTCTTTCAACTCACATAACGTCACGAATGACATAAAGTCATTCGTGATTGACATACACTCAATTTGGCTGTTCATGCTAGGATTTCTTGCAAATCCAGAACGCCTCGAGAGCCTTTCTAACGGCAGTATCATATTCGTATGCCAGTATTACACATCTGATCTCGAAGTCCTTGCCACCGTGGACTTCAACGCGAATTTGTGATTCTTCCACGGATCGTGGACCGGAAAATCAAGAGCTCCACCTTAATGAGACAACCATCTATCGTCGGGTGTGAGAGAAAATTTCAAGCATAATACAAGTGTGGGAGGACGTGTGGGAGGACAACCGACCGAATTTCCTGGTTCTTGAATAAGATTGTCAATCAGCTACTGGACAAAGTCCCGTCTCATCTAGCCAACACGAATCATTTCCTGGAGCGCCTACGTAACATTAATTTGCAAACGCAATGTGCAGCTGAATCTTTTGACGTAGTGCCATTGTACACTAACGTTCGAAACGACGACGCTCTACAAGCAGTTTCGGAAAGGCTTTGGCCATACTTCGCCCGTGTTGCCGATGTTACCACTGTTACGGTGTTGCCGATGTTTCCAGTGTTACTCGTGTTACTCGTGTTGCCAATGTTTGTTACTCGTGTTACCACCTTTATTGCTGTTGATTCTCGAAATGATCGCCAGTACAGTTTCATTCTTGAAGCAGTCTCACTGAGTGGTGAGTATACAGGACCTGAGGCGATCATACTGCAATAATAATACCATGCTAGAAACTTGCTTCAAATAGTTTTTATGACACAAATATAATCATATTGTTTGATTTGTATCACAATGACATCTAACGTACTGGCCAACGTTTTAAACGCCTTGATCGAACTTCAAGAAACCTTGTCCTCGGACGTGTCATCATTTTCGCGGCCGTATGTAAAAAGGGAGCACATTCCCTTTTTTGAAAAATAAACTTTTGAAACTGAAACTAAAAAAACTGAAAGAAAAAAGAAAAAAGACTTTTTTGAAGCAAGTTTCTAGCATGGATTATTACTGCAGTATGATCGCCTCAGGTCCTGTATACTCACCACTCGGTGAGACTGCGTTCAAAAATGAAACTGTACTGGCGATTATTTCGAGAATCAACAGCATTAAAGGTTATATCACGAGTAACACTGGAAACATCGGCAACATGAGTAACACGAGTAACACTGGAAACATCGGCAACACCGGTAACACTGGTAACATCGGCAACACGGGCAAAGTATGGCCAAAGCCAAATGTTGAAAAACTTTGGTGAGAAGATCCGGACTTTCGGCCTGAGTAAACGATCGGTTATGCTCCTGATGAAAGAGTGCCTCTCTTGCAACATCTTCAAATGGTCAGGGACATACTATACTCAGCTGAGAAGTCTTGCGATGGGACAAAGACCTGCTCCAGTACTTGCACCTGCTTAATGAGTAGAATAGAAGAACCAGTGCTGTCGCGTCTACCTCTAATGTACTGTCGTTACATAGACGACTGTTGTGTTATAACATCAACACAATCCGAAGTGGATGGGTGTTTCCGATTACTCAACCAACAGTCACAGTACATAAAGTTTACACGGCAGCAACCGAAAAATGGTTGGCTTCCTTATCTCAATGTACAAATCAAACTGTCCAACGGCGCTGCGAATGTAAAATGGTATCGCAAAGAGAGTTACAAGAATATCTTAGTTAATACTCGCTCCGCACATCCGATCGTTAAAAGAGCTGCTATCCGTAACATGCTCAAAACAGCAACGAACGTATGCACAGGAGAAGAAGAACGAAAAGAGTCGCAGAGATGGGCGCTGGATATTGCTCGAATGAATGGCTACACGTTCCAAAAAAACGTATTGGACCATCTATTTCCATCAACAACAACCAGCACCAACAGAAAATACCTCTCTGTCTTCCGTCTCTGACGCGACTAGTGCTATAGTACGACGATGCATTAAAAACGCGAACCTTATAAACGATGTCATTTTGATTGACGTTACAAGTGATAACATCAGGAAGCGGTTAGTACGAACAGGTTGTACGACAACTACTGCAGAATCCAAGACTGCGTAGTTTGTCCACCCAGTAAAATTGGTGACTGCGGTAAGACAGGTGTAATCTATCAGATCGAATGTATCGAGTGCTGCGTCACTTATATCAGAGAGACTGGGAGACCGTTGGGAGTAAGGTTAAAAGAACACTTTGCTAGCAAAAGGCGAGGAAGCCTTACAACCAGGGTTAAGCTTGGGGTGTGGCATGCCACACCTGGGGGGGGGTCGTACTGAGGGGTTAGAAAGGGGGAGGGGGTCGTTGTTAGAGTGTTTTTGATGTTAGCGATAACATGATATTCATTAACAATGTCGGATAGCCTATCATGCAAAATACTAATACATTGATATTTTGGCCTACCATCACGTGCGGTAAGCTTAATACAAGATCTATAAGAGCATGGGAGGATCGCTTTTGTAATTAGCATGTCAAATAAACCCTGTGGGCCAAGTTTCAGCGAATTTCAAGGTTTCCGAATAATGGTTCACCCATGTGAGATGGTCATTTTTAAACGCGCTAATTTTGTTTCGAAGGTAAGTTAACTACTTCTTTTTGCACTTAATACAAACAACTACTAATTCTTTGCTTACATTAGGAATCCTACTTCAGACAACCTTCAAATTATGGAATTAAAAGCAAGCCAATATCTCGTTTGTTCCATTTTTCGCCTCCAATATCTTGGACTAGAAACCAATCAGACTCAAATCACTCTGTTGTAAACAATGAGGTTGAATTATCCAACATATACATTCTTTTCGCCTTCCCTAGCGATTCATGTAGTAGCGGAGTTACCGTACCCAATATTTTTGCAGTATTTTCCACCTGCATAGATGAGGAAAATCATTACATCCTTCCCTAGAAGAAACGATTTCAAGTGAAGTTCCTGCTACGTAAAGAAAAAGGTGGAGTAATAGCAACGATACAAAAACCACAGCTGTTTGAATGCTTTGAAGGTAAGTTAATGAGGTGTGGCACCCCTCAAAAAGCTGTGGCAGCCACAGCTTTTGGCCACACCCCATTAGCTATATCAAAAAAACATTTTCAGGGAACAGTATCCACATGAATCGATAGCACAAATCTCGTAGATTTCACAGGAGTGATTTGAGCCTGATTCGTCTTCTTAGCTGCGAGTAATATTTGGAGAAATAACAGCCATCAAAAGCGAAAAATGGGAAAAACGAGAATTTGGTTGGCTTTTAATTCCACAGTTTGGAGGTCTTTTAGAGCGGGATTTCGGAGGTGGACAAAGAAGGACTTTGTTACGAGTGCAAAAGCGGGTAGCTAATTCACCTTTTAAACAAAGTTCATCATGTTGGAAAATGACCATTTCACTCAGGTTGCCCAGTATTCTGAATCTCCTTTTTTCGCTCAAACTTTGTCTACAGGGGTTGACTGACATGCTAGTTATGGATATGTTGCCCTTTATGTTTGACAGGGCTTTCAAGTAATGATATCCTGGGTATATAATTCAGAGGGGGTCTTATTGAGACAGCAATTAGAGGGGGGAGGTCGTAACCAGCGATCGTGTGCCACACCTCTTGCTTGACCCTGCTTACCACTCCTCTCGGTAAACATGAAGTTGAAGTCCACGGTGGTAAGGACTTCGAGATCAGCTGTGTAATACTGGCATACGAATACGATACTGCCGTTAGAAAGGTTCTCGAGGCGTTCTGGATTTTCGCAAGAAATCCTAGCATGAACAGCCGAAATGAGTGTATGTCACACAAATGACTTTATGCCATTCGTGACGTTATGTGAGTTGAAAGACCACTGATTAATTCGAGTATGGTATACAGTGTATTCCATTATTGGTATCAGTGGCACTGAAGGACGGCCGCTTTTAACATCTGCGCGCCGGTGGAGGAGGTTACTTCTCTTTCACGTTATGGGGTTTTGGTTTGTAGCATTCTGGGGTAAATAGAGGCTAGCCGGGGACAGGGCTCGGCACGAGGTGGCTAGTTGAAATTGCAAAAAACGAAATTTCCCTCAACTTCGCCAAAGAAGTACGACATCCCCCTTGACACGTTAACGAACAAATCAAAAATGAAAACAAATAGAACGAAATAGAATAAAAGGCGACAAAAAATAGGCAATAAGGACCGGTGATTGTTTGTATTATCTGGATTGGCGGCATGCTGTGTCCGCCGTACCACCGCGAGCTTGGAGCACCTTTGCGGCTGCCATCCAGATAATTTGGAGGGCTATAAACAGGCGGGGAGGAGAGGGTTTGAGGAGATACAAGAGTTGTTTTGTAGAATATTGGATGTAGATTACTTTTATGTAAAAAGTTTGAAAAAATTATGTGAAGAATAGGAATTCTATGACTTTGTTTGCGCTAAGCCACCTCAGGTGGCTATCCAGGTGGCTTGAAAGCCACCTAACCCCGAAAAAAGTTTGCCACGCCCTTAGTTCACATAATTTTTTCATAATTTTTCATACATAGTCCCAACTCCCCATTGCCCATCTACACACCTATTTTGCTGCCATTTCATCCTCGCTTCGCTGTAAACAAACACTTTCTTTACTTGCTGGCGGCATGCCGGCAGCGTGTCGGCTGCAGATCGAAAGACAGCGTCATGCTCTTCCGCAAAAACGATGTCCCCTTTGCTTTTTCCCCCAAAAACGATATCCAGCTTGCTTTGCAAGTTACCTGTGCCGAGCCCTGTCCGGGGATGGAGGAGGTTTTTGGTGGGATAGACATAAAACCATAAATCTCTTACCACTTTAAAACATCTAATCATCTAATCATCATCATCTAAACATTTAATCTCTTACCACATAAAACCATAAATCTCTTACCTCTGAAGAAGACGAATAGCTCGAAACGCTAGGCCGCCACTTACTAATAAATACTAACCTCGATTGGCTTACTATTCTACTCACAACATCAAAAGCCAATGTTATTTCTTAGGTTTTTGTGCAAAAGAAATAGAAATCCTTTATTTGTCGACGCTGGATTTCTTCCTAACTCCTTTTTGAGTTTGAAGGATTCGTAAACTTCGTGGTCTTGTTTTAAAACATTCTTTCATCTAAACAATGGACCTGGCATCATATAGTTAATGCTAGCCCGCTAGACACTTGGGTGCAACTCGACTTTGAACTGAAGCAGGCCGGTTGTAAAGTGCGAAACCCCTCGACTCAAGCATACGCATGCTATTTTCTGTTTTTTCGTCTCTGTATGCTGTTTTTAAGCATTTTGACAAAGCTTGTAATCAGAGTCGTATGTTGTTGTTGAACTGAATTGCTTCAATCACTCAGACAATGGATCGGACCCCTCCGCTGGGGAAATGGCAGGGTCGCGGCGTTTCCCCAGCGGTGGGTCACCCATTTGTCCGGCGGAGCCCTCCCATTTCTCCGGCGGATACCCCCCATTTTCTGCTCCGGATACCCCCCATTTTCTGCTCCGGATACCTCCCATTTTCTGCTCCGGAGCCCCCCGATTTTGTGCGCCGGAGCCCCCCGATCGCGGCATACTGTAATTAGCCCTAATTAAAGGCAGCTTCCAGGCAGATCTGGACCTATGGGGCTTTTACATGGAAAGTACTTTTGGGGCCCTCACTAAGGCACTGCCGAAGCAGCAGCTCAGGTAGTGCTCCAATGGCTGAGATATTCCCCTCGAAACAGACCCCCGCGAACGTATTCGCATGGATTCATGGCAGTTTCGCGCCAGGATCCACGTTTGCACCATGAATCCATGCGAAACACGGTCGCGGGGTCCGGTTTCGAGCAGAATATCTCAGGCGTTAGAGCACTACTTGAGCTGCCGGTTGGGTAGTGGCTTAGTTAGGGCCCCAAAATACTTTTCATGTAAAATCCCCATAGGTCCAGACTTGCCTGGACGCTGCCTTTAAGCTCCAAACCCCAATTTTGTCTCTAAACCCCACCCAAATAAGCCGAATAGGACCCCCCGGGTAGGAGTTTAGCGCGACCTTCACCCCGTACTCTACCCCCTCCCTCTCACCCCTAGCGTTTGTGGATAGAAGATAGAAGAAAGAACGAAGAGATAAGACATTTATTTCAAATTTTTCAAACTTTCGAAAAATCTATCTATCTATCTCCAGCATACGTACAACAGTTAATTCATATTACAAAAACCATACTAGGAGTTAGAGATAAGAATATTGAAAGAAAAACTAATTTCCTAGTTGCAAAAAGAACCTTGTAACACCACAGTATAAGCATATGGTTTTAACATGGTAAAAAAATGACAAAAAGATCAAAAAAGCATTCTGTGCAACATGAAACAAAACAGACAAACTGTGCGGTTCCTAGCCAGTACGACAGTACTCCAGTTAGAAAGGAGCATGTCAACTCCTTTGGGAATCTGAAGATGGCGCGTTTTAAATTCCAGCTCACCTTACATTAGATGACCGCTTACTTCATCCAGTCATACTCCTTTTCAAGCAACAAGCGTCTAGTTAGTCGGAGCATCCATACAAAAGAACAAGCACATGCGGCATAAAAGTATAAAGAGCTCCATGGAGTCCAGAACATTCTGTATGCATGTGGAAAATCGAGGACACCAAGAAAAGACGAAAAAAGACCTGTCTTCAATCGTTGGATCAGTATCGTGCCACGTCCACTACAGCAATTTCGTACCTAACATACGGAATGGTAATTGAAGCATCACAGAACTCAGGCCAACTGCAGGCCCTTCACCCCACCAAGGTAGGCGCATTCTGAAATGGCAAAAAATATAATTTCACGCTCACAATCACCAAAGTGGACAAGGGGAACTTAGAAGTGATTTCTATCCAAGACTAAAATTACTGTTACTGTTATAAGGCCTGAGCTGACTTGACCTGTATTGGTGAAAAAAGTTGAAGAAGGATTAACCAGCGATCAATTTTTAATGAAGCAACAAGTCGGGGGGGGGGGGGGGAACGGGGTAGGCGCCCCCCTTCACAAGCTGTTCGAAAAACAGGACCGTGCAGAAACTCTTAACCGTTATCCGTTAAAATTTACGTCTACAATTTTGATCGGAAGATTTTCCCGCTAGTAAAAAATGTATGAAAATTCTGTGGACTAATAAATGTGTACAGGGCTTTACAACCTGAGTGTCCCACCCGCCCCGCTAGGACGCCACGCTTAGGTCCGCGCAGCGTTCGTGGCGCTGGCTGCGCGTCGACTGAAGCTTGGCGAAATCCGGGGGATACGCAGCAAACGCCGCGCGCGGCCTGAGCGAGGCGGCCGCGTTGGAGGAGCCGCGCAAGCGAAACTTGCGACTCTCAGGTTGAAAAGCCCTGTACATGAGATACCTGCTAACAAGGACATAGGATGTGTAGAGAAACATTTGGTGAAATCCAAAAAGGGCATAGAGAGGAACTCTCATTCCAAAAAAGCTCAACATACCCTAAACAGGATAATTATGAAGTCGAGTGTTGCTGAGAAGAAAGATAAATACCTGTGCATGCCAATAAAGATTCAATTCTGGTACAGAGATAGCTAGTGTTTCGATGACAAACGCATGTACAGTTACGGCAATCCATGTGTATAGATACCGACCGCCATGACGATAGGCTTATTTGATATCGAATAGTGATTTGAATAAGATACAAAAGGAAGTCTAAAACATACCATGAGCAAATGTGAGCATACATAAAAATCCAAAGACGAGCTCAGCAGCGAAAAAGTACGGGTTATTCTGGATCAATTCTACGGGACTTTTGTATTTGCAAAACCAATCCGCCCACTGAAAAGCAGCATGTGATATAATTGTGACTGAAAAGCAATTTTTCAAAGCTTGCTGTTAAGAATGTGAATAAAAGGAAGGAAGAAAAAACCAAATAATGGTTTAATTACGCCAACTTCGCGCCGCGGAAAATAAATTTGCATTCGGCGGCAAGTTCAAACCCGCATTCATAGTTGCCTACAAAGCAAGTTATTGTACAGCAGCTTGATTAACGCAGTTGGCATCAGTTGCAAATGGTGGATATATCTACGGTAAAGGAATGAAATGATTATCGTTTCGTGTGAGACAACCTCGAAAAGCTTTGGACACGTGTGATTAACAAGTTGAAACATGTGCTCTAATTTATCTTGGATGTAACAATCTTGGAAATCAGAGAGCAAACATGTTTGAGCCTGTGTAACGTGTGCAAAGCGTTTTCGAGTATCGCAGTTCAAAAACAAAAAACTACCTATCCTACCAAAGATGCATCCTTTATATCTTTTTCTACCTAAAGGTATATTCTTTGCATAAAACGCTCGTTAGCCAGGCTGGTAAGCACTGTGTGACACGGAACAACAACAAGGATTATTTAGACGATACTTTCATCACAAAACACTAGATAGTTGCGCAACTAACCTCATTGTTTCGAAAATCCAGAATTAATCACAAAAACCACTCCATCAATAGTCTACGATGTCTCAGCAAGTCGGAAAGAGCCAAACACTGAAGGTGATTGAGTGCAACCGCACGAAAATTTCAAACATAAACCTGAAAACGAGGAACTTACAGCAACATAAACGCCAACGCGACGAAGAGCAACGCGGAAAAGGAAAAAACGGTAAAGAAACGCGCAAAAACAACAGAATCAAAGAAACCGCGACTAAAATATGGACAACGAGCGTAAACAGAGGACTCATCACCGTGGAGTTATACGTTTGCTTGCTACGCGCCAAATCGATACGCAGCCTGCTCCGGATACCTCCCATTTCTCCGGCGGATACCCCCCATTTTCTGCTCCGGAGGCCTCCCATTTCTGCTCCGGACCCCTCCCATTTTCTCCGGCGCGACTCCGCCAGATTTGCCAGGCTCGCGCCGGACAAATTTGTCCGGCGCGAGCCTGGCAAATCTGCCAGGGTCGCGCCGGAGAAATGGCGGACCTTTGCAGCAGGGCCGGAGAAGCCTCCCATTTGCCTGGCAGTGATGTCACGCGAGGGACCGCCCATTTGCCCCGCTCTCATTGGTCAATTGGGTCCGGCGCGAGTCTGGCAGTTTCGGCTTGCCCAGCGGAGGGGTCCGATCCATTGTCTGAGCAATTTCAATTGAAGTTGGGGAAACGGTTGGGGATTTTGCTCGTGAGTTTTTTGTTGAGTAACATGTGCTGAAGTATCGGCAAATTTTATATCAAAGCTCCCAACTTGCAATATTTTGACCGACGTTACCTGAAATCAGAGTTAGAAAAACAAACTTACTGTAAGAGCATGTGATGTCATGCTCTGTTTCTTTCACGGTTCTGACTCATTTAATTGAGGGCGTGTTCTGGAGTGAGGGACTCGAGAGAGACTGGGAAGCTGGGACGCTGCGCGGCCGCCAACGACCCGGAACTGCTCACCTCTGGTTGCTGTTCACCCCGTCAACTGCGACACCTGACTTCGCGAGTGGCATACTGATACTGTCGTATTCATATACCGCTGGCTGTTTCGAGATCTAAACCTTTTCACCTTATTACGTGTCATCTCGGCGGGCGCTGCTCTTACTATACTCAGCGGGGAGTAACAGCGGCGTGCCGTTGGGCCGACGCGCGTTCTCTCAACAAGAAGGCGAGAGGCGTCCCATCACATGCTCCGTAATTATCCCATCTTGTAAGTGCAAGCAGTACCCGCACGGGATACGATGCAGTGATTGGCTCAGCGTTTATATTTTGTTCAAAACTTCGTACGACTTGAATAATATTAACACATTGACGACCGCTTGACACACCATGTGTGTCAAGCTATGACTACCGCGTGGGACCGCTTGACACACATGGTGTGTCAAGACTTTAACTTCGTTTTAAAATAACGATTATTTTAGTACAAACTCATTCCGAAGTTTTCTTTTGCTCTTAATCTAGAAATGACTTCTATCTTCTTTGTCAGCCCTTCACAGCTACTGCAAATATACTGTAGATGGCAGTTTGCGCGCGCGATTTTATCTGAAAAATGCTCACTGGTCCGTGGAAGGTCTTGGTCCCAAGATGCAGACATCAAAAATTTGCGTGGTCGTCAATGTGTTAATTGTTGACCTTACTGAATCGATCAAGATCCTTTAACTCCGTCAATGAGGCCACCGAAAACCTTTGCCTCCGTCAATGAGGTCTATAAAGAGCCTTATGAGATCTATCGATCGAAATAGTTGGATCTTTTGCGCTAATTTCGGTTTCATGAAATTTATCGAATTAGCCACTTACAAATCAGCCAACGTTGCATCAGTCTACTTACCAAAAATCGGGTGAAACTGCGACTTCACCAACAACGTATCCTCTTGGCGTACCAGCGGCATAGCACTATCCTACCAGCGGAGCTCCACAGCATACAAACGGCCCCTTACGAGCGACGGCATGTTCCGCTCAAATGAGCATCGAACGCCGCTGGTGCGCTACGAATGGAGTAGCAATATGAACAGTCGTTCAACAACAACATTGTCAATTCTGTTTATGAACATTGTTGAAACACTAAAAACAGCGTCAACGAAAAAAAAAACATGCGTAAGCTTGAACCGGGTGCTGAGGGTGCGCACTCTATGCCAACCGACCTGCCCCAGTACAAGTTCATTATACCAGATGTTTAATGGGGTGAGGACAACAATACGCGTAGCTGATAGAGTAGGCACTTTTTCGTTATTCTAACAATGAGACATCCTATGCCCGATTTGAGAGAGGAGGTAAAGAATGAGTTTGCCAGGGCAAACGTCCCAATAGAAAAAATATCACGTACTTACTTAATCGTCATTTTCTCAATCGGTTTGCATCATTTGATCGCGTTCTGCACTCATCGTCCGTTCCTCTTTCTAGCTAGTTCAAGTAGCTCATGCCAGGTTTAACTTCTACAACGCGTTATGCTGAAACTTGTGTATTTCTTCCAGCTCGCAATGGCTGTACGAGTAGATGTTGATGACTTGATTGTTCGATTATTGAATGTTGGTGTTCCTGGCTGCGCACTAGTTAACAATGTCAAAGAAGCAGAGCTAATGGTCTTATGTCAGTCAGCAAGGTAGAAGCATTTCCATAATTCTCGCATGTATACCACAGTCGCTGGTGCGCACTTTTTACTCTTTTAAAATAATCGCAAATGAATCTCCCGCATAGACACTGCAACAGCAGCAACGGCTGGGAGCACGTCATGACTTACAGTCTGCGCTAACTTCTTGAAGCATTGCCGCTTCCAAACATCAGTCTAAAAGCGTACTTTCGCCGGCACTCTTAGTGCCATGTTACTGACATCGAGTCACGCATCTGTCGCCACCCCCACTCACCTGATCACCCGCCGTGCCGCGCACAAAACATGGGCGCAGTATGTGCGGTAAAGCGGCTGTCGTGCACGGCGTGAGACCTGAGGTGTGGCGGCAGCGGCTGGTATGGACGATTTTATAATGCAGAGAGGTGAAACTGTGAAAAAAAAAAACAAAGTGCGTAAGTGCAAGATGCAAAAGAACAGGTAATAATAAAGTAAGTACGAGCCACGATAAGCGCAGCAAAGGACTACGTTGTGCCTTACAACTAATGTGTAACCGTTATATGGACATCAGTGTGGTGGATACAGAAGTGAAGGCGCATTTAGCACTTCTTCATAAGGGCAAAAACCTTCTTCACGAAGAAACATGCTACAAGAAGCAGATTAAGCAAGGGCAGAGATGGCACTTGATTACTGTGGCTACGATAAACAGGAATCCGGGTGAAGGGAGTAGAAGGAGTTTTGATTGACTGCATCGCCGCAAAAGAATGATTAATCATGCCGAGCTTCACGAAAGGCAAGCCGTGGGCACTTTTCATAATCCAGCTGCCAAGAGGAGGGCATAGTCAAAGTACTTGCTTCTCTCTCGTCACTGATGACAGTTTCCGGGCAAAATCTAATTCGCTTTCTTTTCGCCTACCCCGGCTTATTCGTGGGCGGATCCTAAACTCACTGTCGAGAGCGTGAACTATTCAACACAGCCTCTTCCCGAAATCATGCTTTGAATATGGACATGTGGAAGAGAGAGTGAAATCACGTGATTTTGACCATGGCTGATTGCGGTAATTGTGAGGGCGAGACTGGGAAGAACTTGGATGAGGTGGTCCTGCTGTGTCGTAAGAATGCGTTGGGTCGTTCCGCTCGCTTGCGGCTACGGCTTCAAGTGCCGTCTACTTGGGCAATGAAGTGGCCAAAGCGTCGGCTTCGGTAGTGAGTTAAAATCGCAAATCCCTTATTCTGCCACTATCATGCCTTCTAGCTGACAATAAAACGTTGCTCCTCATCTAGTGATACCCTTTGCATCATAAATGAAACTGTGCTTTCCATTAGCTTTCACTGACGGTCTCTTCGGGTGAGATCTTGTGTACAGGGCCTATCAACTGCAGTTCGGGAGCACCAGCATTTCCACTTCCGCGCAGACGCTTCGCCTGCACTCTGCATCTCTTTCGCGAACATTCTCTCGCTTTCCAATCGCGAGCGTGGAAAAGACGGAACCTTAATTGATGACATGCTTAGAGAGCATGTTCGCGGAAGAGGTGCAGGGTCTCGAGCGGGAGTGGCGGTGCGATGCTGGTGCACCCGACACTGCAGTTGATAAGCCCTGTACCTCTAATTATTTTCGCTTTCCGTTATGTGAGCTCTACATAGCAACTATTTTATCAAACTACGTTGGATCGAAGAATTGCTGTTGGCCTTTACAGCTGTCCAGTTATCGGAGCCATTCCTAGAGATAGCATTCATAGCTGAGTTTGAAATCAGCCTTCTCAAAATCAGCAATTCTTGACTTCCTCTTTTTTTCTACCCGACCATATCAGCCACTATGTTTACAAGAATTTCATCAGAGAAAGCAAAATGGTGATAACTTTTCCGAAGCCCTCATAAAATGTACAAGCGCACAATACAGTAACACAGCCCAACAAGTACGAGTTTACGCTACTTACAAATAAGATCTGGTCGTGGCATCTCCATGTATTCGATGCACACACGATCCATAGTGCGCGTGCCCATGCTCATGCATTTGCCGGTTTGCAAACGTGTTTAGAAAAATCTTTAAAAAAATCTAAATTTACGCTGAATGCTTTTTACATTTAAGAAGAACAAGAACAATGAAAGAGACGCTGAACATTATCTTGAAAATGGTGTCCTTATCACCAACATGCAGGATGGGAGCTATGGATTATGTGCTCTCTCGCACATATTGAAGGCACCGTCCAGCCAGATTCTCAACTTTCATACTTTTGTCGTTCCGGGACCTTCGCAGATGCCTGATACGGCATTCGCGAAAATCTCGAGATCCATGTTCCGAGGCGGGTTTTTCGAACGGTGAATGATGTGTTGGTGCTGTCTGGGAGTTCTCGTACCCATTCGTTATTCCGAAGCAATTTTCTCGCTTCCGAGAGAGTTTGCGCCGCGACTTGAACGTTGGCTTGACAGGGGGTCCTACTGTCGTATGCTGCCAAAAGCTCAGCCTCAACTTAGGGTGGACGGTGTCTTTAAGGTCTAAGGCATACCTCACGCGATTTTAGACGCCGCGCGATTTGGCACTTCAACGGCTCTCCATAGCTGGTCGTAAGCGCTCTTTGCTTGGGCCAGACTTGCTGCGCTTGTACAATTAACGGAATCTACGCACCCATGCATCTGAGAGCCTCGCATGCTTAATCTCTAGACATCTGGCAAATCGCCAAGTCGCGAGGATGTGGCGATTTCGCGAAATCGCGAGAGGTATGCCTTAGGCCTAAGATACAAAACGACTTCAGCGCACACAGAGCACGCCAATCACAGAGCAAAGTTATTCTGAGATCTAGAGACTCAACGTGCAATAAGTGCTATGACGCTGGAAGAGGGGATACGCAAATAAGCAGGATCGGAGCTCAGAATGAGAGCGTAAACGGAAGTTCAGCAGCTAGAGAAACAACGGTTCTCATGCAGTTGCGGACTTAGCGTTCAAATATAGTTGTAAGGCCCTGCTTTTCGCTGCGTTGGAATTTTCAAAAGTTGTTGCAGAGCTATTACCGCGCTAGATTGCTTAAATACAGCACAAAAACGTTGCAAACCTTCAGGCAAATGTTCTTAAATCAAACATCCATGTTGGAAGTGCAGTCGCCTATCAAAATCTGCGGTGATGTTCATGGGCAATACGCAGGTATGTTAGCATAATTTTTTTCAGAAATGACGGGGGAACAGGAACATAGTATAGTGAAAAATTCAGACGTTTTACGACTTTTCGATAGGGGTGGATTTCCGCCCATGGTTAATTATCTGTTTCTTGGTGATTATGTAGACCGCGGCCATCAGAATCTTGAATGCATATCTTTATTTTTTTGCTATAAGGTAATGTGAAGGGTTTCCCAATAGCAAGGAGATAATGACATTAAAGATAAAATACCCTGGAAATTTCTTCATTCTACGAGGAAACCATGAATGTGCTCCAATAAATCGAGTCTATGGCTTCTTCGAAGAATGCAACCGGCGGTATAACAGCACAAGACTATGGCTTGGCTTCCAAGTTTGTTCGAGTGTTAGGTAGTGTTAATCGCACTGATCCCATACTTTTAGGAAGCATTCGCGGCAATGCCATTTACAGGACTTGTAGCTGGTAAAATTCTCTGCATGCACGGAGGATTGTCTCCAAAGGTACAGATCTAAATGTTGGTACCCTTCCAAGAGCAACTTTTAGCTTAAATCGTTGGATCAGCTGAGACAGATAACACGGCCGATTGATCCGCCAAATCCCTCACTACATATCGATCTCTTGTGGAGCGATCCAGACCACTATGTGAAGGTCTGTATACCATCTCCATCGATGTTGTCTTTTCAGCATGGAACGCAGTTCAATGTAATGTGCGCACTTTACCTGTAGCAGAGACAGACTCTAGACAAAGAACGGCTTACTGAATACTAATGAAGATAGGAGCGTTTTGGCGAGGCAACAGCAAGGCCGTCAGTCATAACTTTATAGTTCTTCCCGCGTCCTACTCTGAAAAAGAACTGAGGTGGTGGGTATAACGATAGTCAAGTCCTCAAAATAGAACTTACTATACTTCATCATTAGAAGTGATAATTTGAAATCCGTTCACTTTGCATTTCTGCGCTAATATGTGAGGGTGGCATAAGATTCTGCGTCGAGCCAGCAGAGGTAACATTCCTCGCTTCCCGTAGACAAAAGCAGTTTCGGCATCTGTTTATTGCAAAACCCGTGGCAAATGAAAGGAAACAGCAAAAAAACCTTACGGAATATCTGTCCGCAGTGTAGATGTTTGAACATGGTCCCTTACTAACATATCGTTCCAATGACAGTGGAAGACCCCTAAAGGCAGTGGCTCGGCAAATCTCAACCTAGTCAAATTTGCGCTTACCTGGGGTTTTTCAATACGCTGAGCCCGAAAATCCACTTTTTGAAAGCTTGAAAACGGCGAAAATGAGCGTTTTTAATGCCCATCCCTTTGATATTGGACGAGTGGAGCAAGGCCGATGACGCTAAATCGTGGCAGGACCCAACGGTTATAGCGTTGCGGCGAGCAGCCTCCAATGGTAAGAAGGAAATTGCCAACTCGTCCAGATGCGTGTAAGATTGGCCTGCGCGTACAAGTTTGAGAGCGATTTTCTCGGCAGGGAAAGCATGCTGTGCAACCGGGATTGCACTATTTTCATAATTGGGCGATAAGGAACCTACCGCGTTGAAATCCCGAGTTGTTGGATTTTGCCGATCCACTGCCTTTAAAGGCAGCGTCCAGGGCAGGTTTGGCGAATACAAGGAAAACATAGATTGCTGCAGTTCCGACCCTGATGCCAAAGTAAAGTCGCTTCAATTTGGTTCTGAAGCGAGAAGTGGCGACGCTTCGACGACATGCCCGCCCCTCAATCGATAGCCAGAGTGTCTATATCGCACACAGCCAAGGCGTAGCGTCCTACCACGACTCTGCGTCTTAACCTCGGCGGCAAGTGTCCGAAATCAAAAGTAGGGACTTCCGAATAACCTGTTTTCCACATTTTCGTTCTCTGTAAGCTGCAATTTCGAATTCAGCGAGGAGGATAAGTCCAGATAGGCGAAATAATTTCGTTCGAATTTTTCCATTTGCAAGCGGACCGCAAGAAATCAGCGGACTATTGTTCCGGTGCCCGCTTGCCTACAATTCGCATGGCCGCTTATCCCCTTCAATCAATCAATATTCACATCTATTTATCAATGTCGCAAGCAGTTGTAGGAATGCGAGTTCCCATACAGTTTAAAGCCGAACACGTGTAAAAAGATGCATTATTGAGTTTTGCAAAAGAAAACGCAGACGAAGCGAGCTTGATGCTCCGCAGTTGGCTCTCTCGAACGACTTTTGTACGGATTTTATCCGAGTATGAATTCGAGTAAAACATTCGAATGAAACATTCAAATAGAATTCATTCGCATTCTCGTTATTTGATTATAGAAGTTTTCAAATTTTATTCAAAATTCCGTTTTCTGATTATTCAAGTTTCGGGTTTTATTCGAAAATGAAAACTCCGTGTTTCGAATTTCGAGTACGAATATACAGTGTCCCAAAAGATGTGCACACTGTTTGATCGTTAATAACTCTCTTGCTTTCATGTCTTTTGCCGGGCTTGAGGTACCATTCTGTAGAGCGAGGATAAACTTAGATTTACAGTATTAAGCGAACTACTGCTTTTTGCTACTGTAGGATTGTATGAACTTTCAGCATACAGCATCACTGTGGAATAAGCCTTTTGATGAAATATTTTCAAAAAAAAACCTAAAAAATTGTGTAGCAAGGTTTTCAGGCGTGCTGATTTCACTACATAACTTTCCATCAGTTTTTCGAGCTTTCTTGATGGCGTAGTCACATTTCTGCTGAACATTGGAAAATCAGTTGTTACCCTAAATCTGAATTAATTCATGAAAAAATAGTGTACTGACGTGCAGTTTTCATATTTGGAATCAGCGACTACGATTAACCCGTTCAAGAATTTCTGGCTTAATTGGCTTTTTTCTGAGGCAAAATACAGCTTTCCATTGCTGAAAATCCTCCTCGAAATTCCTATCCGTGGTTCTACAGTAATAAAAAGCGGCTGATAAATCCCTCCATACTGTAAATCTAAGTTTATCCTCGCTCTACAGTATGGCTCCTCAAGCTCGGCAAAAGACATGAAAGCAAGAAAGTTATTAACAATTAAACAGTGTGCACATCTTTTAGGGACACCCTGTATTATTCGAATGATCAAATTTTCATTCGATTTGGGCCAAATATACTGGACAAGCAAAGCTTGGGCGTAGTAAGACCACCCATAATTTGAGTAAGAAGCGCCTAACAAAATTCGGGAGACGGTCAAGAGGCGCGATTTCTCCAGAGGTCGTCAAGGTTATAGCCCAATTTAGAGCTGTGCAAGTTTCTCAAGATTACCAAACAAAATGATCTAGGTTACCGACTTCTGAAGCAACCACTTGCTAAGTTTGACCGCATTCGGTGAAAACTTAATTGAAATATTCACGAAAACGGCATTAGCTGCATTTTCACTACTTCTGACCTCCAACAATTATGTTTTACATCCATTTCAGAATGATAAGATCGAACAACGCGTGGGACAAACGTGCAGATTTTTTTATAAATTTGAATTGCTTCCAGAAGATCATAAAATACTGATTATGCACTAATTGGTGTCCCTTTGGCAATAAAAATCGCTCCTCTTGACATACACTCACAAAATTCTTGAGTACTAAAAAGACAACAGATATTCAAATGTTAATATCGTACAAGAAAGTGAATTTAAGGATTCCAGAGCGAGACTTGCGCCAAAACTTGCGCGGGTTTTTTATTGCTAGAATCGAATGGTTACTGAGCAGTACAGAAAGTACTAAATCTATTGCCGAAGAGCGAAGGCGAGAACAAGTAATTGGCTGTTTCGCGACTGTCTCCAAGACATCGAGTTCTCGCGTAAAAACTCTTCCAATAGCGTGCGCATTAACAAAGAATGCTAGTTCATTTGGTGGAGATTTAATATATTCAACTATAAATACGTGAACTGTTTTTAGGGATGGCAATCAAATACTCGAGGCGTCTCTTATGTTTTTGGAGCAGATGTTGTGAATGACACGCTTCCACTTTTGGACATTGATCTTATAGCTAGAGCACACCAGGCACTGTTGTAATTTTTGTGCTTTCCAGATCGCTGATTATTTTTTTTAGGTAGTACAAGATGGTTACGAGTTCTTCGCCAATAAACGGCTGGTTACTATATTTTCGGCGCCACATTACTGCGGGCAATTTGACAATGCAGCAGCAATGATGAATGTTGATGAAGGATTAGTGTGCTCTTTTCAGGTCAAGCAGAACAAACAGCAGAACAAAATACTAATCTTTTTCAACTCGCGAATTTCAGATAATGCGTCCAACAATCAAAGCCAATAAAGTAGTGGCTAGGTCTAGCTGATTCGAATTCGTTACGACGAGTACATAGTTAATGTATTTAAAATAATGTCGAGTGTTTTTGTGCACCAGATCCAAGCGAATAAAAATGCCAGGATCGAGGTGTTAAACTCAGAATAGATGACAGGCACAACAGTCTTGATTCGTACCGAAGCAGCAAGACAATTTTCTTTTTTAAGCTAACTCCGAGTTCGTACAGGAGCGTGAAGTATACATTTATTTACTTTATTTGTTACGAACAGAACGTGAGTGATAATAGACAAAAAGAGCTTCCAAAATTCAGAAGACCTAAGTAAACTGGAAATAGAAAAACAAAAAAACATCAGTAAAAGAGATATAAAACAGATACATAGAAAAAAGGCACTGAAGTGAATGACAACATGACCAGAAAGTAGAAGATCTGCAAGGATGAAAGTTGAGCTGGTTTTGAGAAGCATATCGTGCCATTAGTTTATTAGAGTTGAACTATCCTCATAGTAAAAAAGTTGGACCTCAAAAGAGATTTGGCTTTAGAATTTTTGGTCCCAAAAACGCTTCTGGTTTCGAAGCTGTGGATGTCAAAAAACCTAGAATAATCAATTCTGCATTATTTCTTTGGAAACCAGTAGTCGTAGTCAGAGGGCTGTAAGGACTACTGTTTCGAGCGATCTCCCCTTACAAAAACCATGGACATGAAAGGTTTAATGAGATAGTTTTTCATTTTGACAATATGTTCCTGCAAAATTTCTTACATTACGCGCAAATATAGAGGTGCTGCTCATTGGCCGAAAATTTCTATTTCTAAGGTGGTTCCTTAGAGGGGGGTCATGAAACTGACCACTGTCAGAAATTTCCTTCTCGTGCAAAATCCTGCGCAATTTTGGGAAATCCTATTTCATGTTATATCTCCTTCATAAGCAAACAGAGATTTTCCATCAGGAATTACTGGAAAAGAGCGAGACACTATAAAATAAACTTTGACTATCTTAGTTTATACAACCTTACAGCAGTGGCGTACCCAGGATTTCGGTTCGGGGGGGGGGGGGACAAAAAAAGTTTTTGGTACGCTTCTCAAAATTTTCGCAGGCCCAAAACCCCAAAATTTTAGAAAAAGGGGGCGTGTTTGAAAATTTTGAAAATTGCTGTAATTATTTACAAATATGAATAAGTCTCTTGCACATTTTTACAACCCATATAAGTAACTTCCGAATTTCGCGACCCATTCTCGGGGGGGGGTCGCCACTGCCTTACAGGGTCCTTTTTATTTCATACGTAGGAACTTTTGGACTTTTCAACTAAGATTAGTATTATCTGTCATGCACAATTGACAGCTCTCGTTCCTCTTACTCGCAACCCCACCCAACATTACATACGGCTATACTAAACGTCCATTTGCTTTCGTTTTGGCTTTTCTGATTGATCTCACTTCCTCAACGCCTTTAGATAGATCACTTTGTGGTTATGAACACTCTAGTACCTCTTTGGTACAAAAGAATGAATACTTTTCTCACAGTTGGCCAACTGGTTACCACTCTCTGATGTCCGGTAAGAACTCTGTTGTTTCGAGTCACGAGAGGGGCAAAAAAAGTAAACAAAATAATAGTGTCCCTGCTCTCCTCTTTCCACTGTCTCACGTTCATTCTCAAAACGACTTTTACCTTTGTTATATAAGTGCTGAGCACTGTCGGGTGTAACTATGACGTCATCGTTCTGGAGATATGACGGGAAAGAATGCGCATCGATCGCGAAGATATGAAAACACACAAAAACTGCGGCGATTTCACAATGTGGGCGATCTTTGATGCTTGAATGATTTTCGTTCCATTTGATGGATGTCTAACTTTTGGCGCCGAGGGTAATACCACAATAGTTCTTTAACACTACACTACCAATGTTCGTCAAAATTCCATAGCAAAATATCCAGAGCTTATCAAAAACAGTTTATAATCTTGAAAGAATGAATTTAGATATTTCGAAATACTGTAGCGACGAATTTCCGTCTCGCCCACTCACGCCCTTTTGCACCATTTGAGATCCCATGTGTCTGCTTGCTTGTTGCTGCACGCTTCGTAGTCTCCTCATTTGGTCTTCTCAGAAGTAGGATTCTTAAAATTGAGAAATGCTTTCCAAGCTTTATACGTTGGAGAGGTGATTAGCTTCAGTTCCAAGTACAAACTGCCATTTATGGTGTGCGCGATTCGCTTAGATTTTGATAAAAACAATCAGGGTTTTGAATCGTAGACGTTTTTATGTTGGTCATAGTGTATTTATTGATTATCAGCTTTTTTAGAAGAAATGGTACTTCGAAGAAAGCAGGCTCGTGGGCGCCCGCCCAAAAATCAATCATCAGAATCACCTCCACCAAGAAGGGCCAAGGCTATCGCGAATGCTCATATTGCTGCCCTTATGATGGATAATGAAGGTAATGGTGTCTAGAAGATCAAATTAGCTTGTAAATGCCACTCTCTTTTCTTAGGTCCTAGCGCAAAGGTACCGAAACTGGAGATGAATGGAACGCCTAAAGAAGAGGAACCTTCTTCCGCGAAAGTCAAGGATGAGCCGGGTGCAAGGACCTCTGCAGACAATCCTGATACTTGCGCGATATGCCTTGGACAGTGAGTTTTAGCTTTTTCTCTGATTTTCTTCCCATACAAAAAAGTGTTGCTTCCTCTTGTACTGCTCTGCGGGGTGTTTATGACAACCCAATTCGTGTTTATATCTCAGAACTTCTCATATGGTAATTGTGTGTGTGTGTGTGTGTGTGTGGGGGGGGGGCTACAATCAAAGGCAGCGTCCACGCAAATCTGGACCTGTGGGGATTTTACGTGGAAAGTAATTTTGGGGCCCTAACTAAGGCAGCGGTAGCGCGAATGACTCACTAACGGCTAAGATATACGCCTCTAGACTGGACCCCAGGATCGTATTTCGCATGGATTCATGGCGCAACCCGTAGGTCCTCGCGCGAAATTGATGGTTTCCGCCATGAATCCATGCGAAATACGACACGAGGTTCAGTTTCAAGGCGAATATTTCAGCCGTTAGAGCACTACCTGAGCTGCCAGTGGAGCAGTGCTTAGTTAGGACCCCAAAATTATTATCCACGTAAGATCCCCATATGTCCCGATTTGCCTGGACGCTACCTTTGAGTCATTTACCAGGCGGCTCATATAATATTATGGTCGGAAAATTACTGCGACCGTATTTCCTATCGTAATCATGACTGGTCCGACTGGAATGTTTGAGATTAAATTTGTCGTCCACAAGAATCATATGAGTGCGGAGGGGCTTGTTTAGGCCCTTCTAATCAGCATGCGCCAAAAATAGTCTTCAGGTTTACGTGGGCATTGCCTCCAGCGTTAATGAAGCTGGTGAGTGAGTGGTATCACAAGAAACTTATTTTTTCAGGAGAGTCGATCCTACCGAACTGGAAAACTGTATTCACTCTTTCTGCTTCACCTGTACTTCGCAGTGGTTCAAATATTCGGAGAAGTGTCCACTATGCATGAAACCAACGAAGACTTTTTATCACAAGCCGGCCAACTCGGACGAGAAAGAAGCGTTAGTCTATTGTACACAAAATTCTTGTTTGAAAATTTGCTTTTCAGGGTTTCGGTGAGCGAATTGCATACGGCTGCTGAAGCGGCTCGATTGGCTGAGCGGGGACTATCGCAGCCGCCATTGGACGAGCACGAGTGTATTCGATTGAGGATCCGTCGTTTACAGCGAAGGCTTTCTTTGCTTCAGGCTGAAATGTATGTGCAAACGCTAATGAGGGGAGGGTCAGAAGTCGAAGTGGCCAATCCAAACAAGCCGTCAACCATTCGATGCAGCATTCAACGCTGATTTCGAATCTGTATTCCATATCTTCTTAGCGCCTTTGTGGATTAAGTTATGAGCAGTTATATTGCGAAAAAATCGTGCATAAAAATTGCGAAGCTTAGCACATTATTGCACCTTCAGCTCACTCTTAGGCTTTGATTAAAAATATGAAGCAATGTAGGTGCATTAATGGCATCTGACGGCTCATAACTTTGCCCACGCCCACATGGGCGCTAAGCTATGGAATACATATTCGAAGTCAGCGTTTTATGTTACATCTAATGGTACGCAACTTGTTTGGTTGGCCACTTCGATTTTTGACAATTTCCTTGTAAGTCTGAGGTAATCTACTGCATTTGCGTTTTTTTAGGAGCAAGGACAATCGAGAAGAACGTAAGAACGAATTTCGCGCCGCTAACACCCGTTTAGTCAATGAGATCAGTCGCCTTGAAATGCTGAGAAGGGATGCTACAACGAGGCTAGTGACCGTTTTTTCATTCTGAAAACTGAGTAAAATTCGTGTCTCAAGAAGGCGATTCAGGGCTGACCTTGTTGGCAATGTCGTCTTTCGCTCTTTAATATACAAGGATAACCTTGATTGGAGCTCTATTGATCGAAATGCAAATAGGGTAGGCATATACGAATTATCTATGCCAAAATAATTTTACAATGATAAACCCATCTGCAGGTTGCCTTCTCGCCAGCAGTATTCAGAGAAAATGTTAATGATTCGACGAACAGGCTACGTGCGTTCTTGGATCGTGAACTTCCTATTGTTTGGCGTAGTGTGAGTTTTCAACTGTTCGTCATTAATAACTTTCAATAAGCTGACCTCTCAGGTTCGCAGCATCCCAAGTTCCATGTGAGCGAGGGGGGGGGGGGGGAGGTTGACTGGACGGGGGCGCGACCAACTCCGAAAACTTCTTTTGGATGCTCTTCAAATCTTTTTACGGGGCTATGAGTGCGAAATTCAAGACAGGGAACTGTAGCGGCAACCATGCCTCAAAAAATTTTTAACGGGGCTAGAAAGTTCAATAATTTTTTAAATCATATACAAGTATAAACAAGTCATTTGCACTTGTTTATGACTTATGTGAAGTGGTTTACAGAGTTTTGATTTACTATTTTACAGAGTTTTGATTTGATATAAGCACATTTCAAAGGTATTCATTGCAATCAATTGTATTTTACAGAGGAAACCACGAGAATCCAGAGATCAATACTACAATCATCGCGATGTTGTCATTCAAGACATTTTTTCGTGGTGCGGCCAATATCAAATCAATTCCCCACATTTTTCGGTAGGTTGCCCTTTTTATTTTCGCTGATGAGCGACAACTGCGATCCTGTTTCGATAGCTAATCCCTGAATCTGCTTTTTGTAGAGGAATCTCCGCACGGCTGGCATTTATCCCGGATATTTACAACGATTTCAATCTGAACTCTTCGAATTTGCTAGTAGCATGTTATCTGTGAGGGATTTCGATAGTACCAGCACGTATAGGTATGGGTTTTATCATTTTTCTTCTGCCTAGTGATTAGCTATCTCATTTTCAAGCTCTGCTGAAGTTCGGCGTATGCTTGAGAGAAGGAATCGTCGAGAAGGAAATGCTGACGGTCTGTTGAATTTTTGAGCTTCATTTGCTTCTAAGTGAGTCATTTTTAGAAATTGTTACTGTCAGCGACAGCGATGACACCGATACGGCGGTAATACCTTTGGAGAATGTACGAAATCATCAAGGACGTCGAAGAAACAGGAGTGATGATGATATCGTTGTGCTTAGTGATGATAATTTATCTAGGAGTCCCGCTGGGGAAAGTAACTATATCAGGGTAAGAATTATTGGGTTATGATTATCAAACAGATTTGCATGTTCTATTAATTGTAGGATGATCCAACATCTTCCAATTCCGAGGCGTCCAATTCTGGCGATTTTTATACTCGGCCAGCCTGTCGTCTACCGCGCTTCCGAAACTCAGCACAGAGACATCCGCTTCGTGCAATTGACGCTTTTGGAGTTTTGCGAGAAATCTACGCAGGACTTCCAACGTCATCGTCCCGTTTTCTGGACTCGTCATCGTCGCGTTTCCTGGACGTGCATGCAGTAAGTTTTTCGTCCATGACCAGTAATTTGGAAAGGGCTCCACATCATTTCATTTGTAATTGATTGTGGTGCATAGCGCTTCAAAAAGTCAAAAATTTGAGATTTTATCGATTCATTTTTTTCTCAGGAAATGATGGCTAATGATTTGCCATACCTTTTCCCTCGCATGAATATACAAGAGCGTCAGCAAACAAGAAGATCTCGATCGAGAAGTCCTATAGGAGCAGTTGATGACACGGTATGCAATTAAACTAGTGATTCACATGCTCTCAACTCTTTAGCTGAGTAAATCTATTCAGATTATCTTGTCCAGTGAAGACGAAGGTAACGATGACGTACGTAGAAACCCAAGGCGTCGAACGTAAGTTTTGCTACATGCATTTTTGACTTCAAATGACCTTTTGGTTCAGGAGGAACGCAACCGCTCAGCGATCCAGATGGGAAACGTCTTCCTCCTCCCAAGATGCAGATCTGGCTAATGGAATCAGTTGGTTGAATCCCGCTGACTCGCACTCTTTCGTGCCTTCTTCTCACCATTCGGGCTGCTCAACTGCTGTCACTGAAACTGCTCCCACATATTCATCTGTTACGCCAGGCCAAAATTCTCAATATCTCGCCAACTCTTTGCCAAATTCTTCTACGCAATCCCAGCCTTATCCATCTTCCAATAGCTCTGTTTTCGATTTGTATGATAGACAATCATCTTTGACACCTGGATCTAGTCCTGGAGTGATCAAATATGTAGCGTCTACTTCTACTGCACAACAGGATAACAGCAATAACACTGGAGCAGGAGCATCTCAGGGTGACGAAGCAGCTAAAAAGCGACCGGTAAGAGTTTGTTTGAAATGAATTGATTATAATTCTCTGGAATCTGTCCTTGCTGTTTTTATCATCAATGTATCCATCATTGCAGAAGTCGTTGTTCCATCCTGATCCTGGAAAGATTTTCGTTCCTGAAGACGAAGTGAAGATAAGCGGTATGCTCATGCGTACGGATTCTGTTCACTTCTGAGTAGTAAGTATCATCTATTTTTAGACGAAAACAAATTGTTGGCGAAGCTAGCACGTGAGCGACTGCTTCGCCGCAGTCAAGGGAGTAGTCAAGGTAGTAGTCAAAGCACTCGATGTGGATCTGAATGTTCGATGGATACATCGGCCAGGAATGAGGTCAATAATATCGATGCAGGTAGGTGGTTGAGCTGGATAGAAATGTCTAAAAATATTTTGGTGGCAGATAGTTAGCTCCGAGGGTCATTTTTTTTTATCTTGTGAATTTAGCATCAACAAATTCGGCGCAGGCTCACTCTGTTGAGCAGTCAGGAGCGAATACCCCTGCCGGAAATGACGATACACCGATTGTGGTATGTTCTTGGTCTCTTCCAAAATCCTGCTCTCAGTAAGCTTCATGGATATCAATTGTAAGAAGTCCTCGCTTACGTGGTGATTGATCGTAGTTGTATAGGGGCGCTAGGGAAGCTATGAACGGCGTATAAGTGCGATGCGCTGCTTTGTCGAAGATATGTCATTGCTGCAGATTTTTACCTTTTTTTCAGTTTAGAAGCTGTGAAATTGTCTTTTCTCCCTAGATGTGTAGGGCTATTCAATTTACTATGTACCCTTCCATTTTCTTATAGGCACTCCATCGTTTTGTATACAACCTTGATAACATTGTGGCTAATTTGTTTTTTATGCTTTCTTTGTTGTTGTGACTAAATTAATGGGTTCCCTGATGAATATATTTTGATTGTTCATTTCGGAATGCTCTTGATCTCGAGTACAATACTTCAAAATCATTGCTTTCACATCTGCTTGTCAAACAAGAAGGCAATAAATTGAACCAGACTTTTATCAGTTTTAATCAAAGAGTTTCCACTATGCTATTTTTTGCAATATTTTGCAAAGTAGTTTGAAGACTTAACCTGCGATACTTCATAGCTGTAAGCCGTAACATTTTGCGGTTTTTAAGTCGAGGTGAAGCTCGCTTAGTCGGGGTTTGTCAGAGTGGTTCTAGGTTCTCTTTGTTTCTTTTACTAGTCCAAAACATTGTTTGATCCACATCCTAGGCCACATCCTAGCTTCTATCGGGTAGACGAAAGATCTGCACTTGCGAGAACACTTCCCTGGTAGATGTCTTTTTGAAACAGCATGCTGCTTGCACTTGATAGATGGAAGATTCGCATGAACAAAAGAACTTTCCTGGTAGATGATTTGAGATGGCTCCAACGTTTGGATCTCATTCTTTCTGTGCCGCAATATTCGGAAAGCAATCATTCCATTTGAACATGGTGTAGCGGTTCTTTCAAACGTAACCTCTGATACAAGCAGCTGCGGTCAACTGGTGCGTTTTATTTGAGACGTCGTCATACATCTGTGTGTTCTTTTCTTATACCGGTTGGACCCATGCAGTTTATATATTCCGATTATTGCCCCGTTATGCATTGCACGTTCTAAAGGTAGTTTGAACATATACTGGCCAATAGCTGTTGGTGACATTCTGAATATTTTCCAAGTTTGGCTTTGCATATCTTTTGTAAACCATTCCACGCGCATCTCATCGCTTGAATTGAACTCATTTGACCACAATGATCCATGTTTTGCCTTATTCAGTCCCTTTTCCCATATGAGCTATAGAAATGTGCTAGTTAGTGAACATATCGACATGATCTAAAATAAGCAGTCATTTTGATGTAGCGTGACGTCACAGTCTGGTGATTTTTCTCATACATGGAAGAGGTGAGTCAAGGATGGTTTAGCGTGAAGGCGCTTGGTATGAACTTTTTGAAAAAATCTCCCGATGATATTTCTGACCAAACATAATTTCTTTGTAAAAATTAGCATAAATTAGCCACCATAAGTCCAACATGTTGGTACTGAAAGTCGCGCTTCAGCTGTTTATACTGTTTATACGGGTAATTCTTCTTACATTTTTCATTGAGCTTGCGCTTGTTCGTGGCAAGTTTCGATATGTAATTTTGTCATAATCATCATCAGCTTTTGAAGTGGAACTAAATTACAAAGTTGACTTTTGGAACTTTGTGAAGTAGCAAGCAGAGATGTCATATCTAGTCTATAATGGCCCGCTCCAATAAGTTATTAATGGATCTGCTGACCCTTTGTTTTCTCAAGTTGTTAAATGCTGGATTTTTTCTGTGAACCGGTGTACCATGAGGGGAAACTAAAAGGGGTTGCAGCTAGAATCAGACAACAAAGCTTTACACCGTGAATACTTCTTTCTGTATGCCTGAAATGAGAAATCAGAAATTTGTTTTTTTTTTGTAGGAAGTGGTTGACGTTTCTTCTTCGCCAATTCTCATAGAGGAGAATGTGCCGGATGACGAAAGAAAATCTAAAAAGTAAGTTTTTTTGATCTCCCCACTGCTGTCACAGAATCGCACTTTGTTTTGCAGAAAAACAACAAGAAAGCACAAAACCATGTCATGGAAATCGTTGTTCAAGAAGTTTCGGCGGAAGCTGAAGCGGGAAAAGAATACGAAAAAGCGAAAAAGGTATTGTTTTTGATTATGATATGATCACTCCTCAAGCAAAATCTACCTATTGAAGAGCATACGATTTTGTCATGGATATGAAACAAAAACTGGAGAAGGATTTGCCGAAAAACTACCGAGTTGAAGACAGGAACGATGATGACCGAGACGTCGGAGCACGAACCAATTCGTTTAGCACGAAACGTCGAAAACCTGATGAAGATGCTTTTCGAAAACGGTCATCTTCGGACTCAGCAGTTTTGGAAAGGGAAGAAGATAAGTTTGAACGCTCAAAGCAGTCAGACTCCTCCGACGAATCTTCATCTCACCGACATCGTAGAGATGACAGTAGGGGAGAAAATGATAGGATGTCATCATCATCAGCAAGTGTCAAGTCCAGAAAACATAGGAGCAGTAGCGAGCATTTGTCAACAAATCCTCTTAGTCCATCCGCTTCATCATCGAGTCGCTCTAGAGCATCCAGTTTTCCACACAAAAGCTCCAAGCATTAGGAACAAGCTTTTAGAAAATTTAATCAATACTGTTTCGTAAATAGGTTTTTGAGATTAGTTTTACTTACAATATTGATTTTACATACGGTTTCATATAGGCCTACCACTTCTACAGAAAAATTTGAAGCTATTTATATATGTGTGAATAATTGATGACCTTTTTATTAGCTTGCTGTTCTGTATACGCATCTACGCATCTTTTCCATTGGGAGCAAGCAAGATTATGTTTAGAATTCTATATTTGTCGCATCTTTTAAGCTTTTCATGCAAACGATATCAAGTTAGTAGGTATCAGAAAACCAACCGGCCGCGTGCCAGCGGCATTTTAGCGTCGTATTGGAACCGAGTCTGCGGCACGACGCTGGAACGGCGCTGGCACAAGCAACTCTGAACGCAGCTTACGCATTGTGGCTACTCGGATTTCTTTTTTCTCTGTGGTCTCTTTTTGATCACGAATCTTTTATGGCACCCGCCATACTTGATCCTCTTGATCCGCCTAATCCACTTGATCCGCTTGATCCGCTTGATCCGCTTCGTGTAAAACGCGCGCACTCAGCAGTCTGTCATTTGGCGTCACGTACAGCGAATTTGCTTAACCTTACGAGATTGCTTTTTACCTACGCGGCGCCAAATGACAGACCTGCTGAGTGCGCGGGTTTTGCACGAAGCGGATCAAGCGGATCAAGGGATTAAATGGATCAAGAGGATCAAGTATGGCGGGTGCCTATGAACGCACAGACACTCTGTGTTCTGCAAATTCCGCGTAAGATCATGGTTGCAACCAGTGAAAGTACTAGAATCTTTCAATTTTTTTTCGGTGATAGAATTTCTGTTATCTCGCTTAGATAATATAGGCGGTTTCTTCCTAGATGCTCAATACTTTTCAACTCACAACTGAATTCTCAGAGCGAGACTGATCTGATTTCTTCTTTAGCAACTTGAAAGGTTAGACTAGAAAATCATATCTTTTCTACTATGCTAATGACTGCACTCGTCTCTCATCCCTTTCAAGCAAATGTCATGCATGTGTCGTTTCTATGTTGGTGTTCATTGTAACTATTAATAAATCTTTGAAGCTTGATGTGTTCTTATGAGAGTAAATGGTTCGAGCGAATCACCTATTTCTTCAAAAAATAGATATGCACTTCTCCTTTTAGACTTATTTTGTTCCATGTCACTTTCATCTACTTCAATCAAAGCGAAAATGACTATTTTTTGCAAGTGTTGTGCAATGTTGCATGCATATGACACGCTTAGCGAGTATAAATTGATGCGAGCTCTTATCGTATGTTTTGGTCACCTTAGGTCACTTGTAGCGTTTTGGCTTTAGTCACTCAATATTACTTTTGCTCGCGTATCCATCAGTATACTAGGTTTCTTAAAATTTAGTTTTGTAGAGGGTGTTCTTCTTCTTATCAAAATTAAGTTAATTTCCATTTTTGACCCATTCAGATGCACTTACTTTTGAGTAGTTCTCATATTTTGGACTTCGAACACATTTCTTGTCTGAAACCTGTTTTCCAGCACAAAGATGAAAAGCATTGCCTCTTTTTTATCTTTACCTGGGCTTCTGAAAAATAGCCAAGAGAAAGATCAGGTGATGTTTACTTGCAGTTGTGAATTGTGAAATATGATTAGATCTTGTTGATGATTTCTGTATCATCAACCATTGATGAACTCTATATTCTAGATAGCCTACGGAAAACCCGTAGGCTAAATTGTGAGCTACTCACTCTTGAGTATCTAATCACTCAAGAGTGAGTGGTACCCGTGCGCCAGGAGTGTAGCCAATCGGCGGCACCTCCTTTCAAGCACCAACTCGTGTACATTGTACCTTTTACTCGGTTCAGCTCCGCCTTCCTTCCTATATAAGGAGCCTCCGAATGTATTAGAGGTTGCTCCCCGGTCCACACCGGGACACCTCACTCTTCTTCACGACTAATCTACGCCCGTGCGAATAAATCTATATTCCACAACCTCGTCTACCCCAAATCACTTGGTACCCACCAAAGATCTGCTTTCACTGACTTCGTGGTGTTTGGTTTCGTTGTACTTTTTGGAAGTCGCTGGACTTTGGTCATTTATGCGTAACCTTTGATTCAACTGGTCTGGCGGCTAGGCGGGGATTTGTGACCTACTAAGGTCGCGCCCGCGACGCAGTCCGCGTCTCTGTCGCGCGCGTGCTATCTGGTAGTATCTAGCCTCACTTAGGTCACAAAGCCCCGCCTTCCAGCCGCCAAGAAAGTTGAATCAAAGAGCACAATGTGGTCTAAGTGCGTACTCAGACAGTCGACTGCATACCTCCGCAGCGAAAATGGATACAAAGTTGCACTCCACCTAAGCGCTGAAGTGAGCAGCATTTTCATTTTCATTTTCATTTTCATTAAATACGCTCAAGGCGTACCATAAAAACACAGAAACAAACAGTGTAATTGTTAGTTTTACACAAAGCACGAATAATAACAGAACATCATATGCTTCAGGCCCAGACTTCATAAAACTAAAGAATAACGACTTAGCTTGCAAGAAGACTGCTGGATATTACGAATGTCAATGATGAGTTATATCCACAGAGATGGAACCCATGCCCCCGCGTTAGCCAGCAAACGATCTTAAGGTATTCAAACAAGCAAACGACGGCGGGTACATACCCACCGGCCTGCCGGGGAGAGCCCAAAACTCCATGAGCCTTGCCATATGTGCAAAACAGTATCGTCAAGTACTGCACAACGAATGAATCTAAACAAATTGTTATCTAAGGAGATGGTACCCATGCCCCTTCGTTTGCTAGCCACGATCTTAAAAGATTTCAAGAAACAAACCGGAATTTGTAGTTCAACCTGTTTGCCGAGGAGAGCCCAACTCCAAAGCAAGAATAAGCATAATATAATCTTCAAGCAATCAAAGCAAGCAAGCTGTGCGGAACAGGTTAAAATATAGATGTGACCAGGCTTGAACCACATGATGAAGAGAACAGTGTTAGTAAAAGGCTCAAAAGCAGTTGAGTTCAACATATGCAAAGTTATAAATTGGCTGCTAGTCAGTGCATATTCGTAACCCAATCATGCTCATTGCACATGTCTGGTTGTAACCGCGCAGTCATAAAAGAAGGGAAGTAAGGTACGTTGAACCTGCAAAGAAGTCATTCAATCTTCTTTTTTTAAGCTCTCTTCTGAAAGAGGAACTATCACTGCATGCCAAAAGTTCGTGTGGTAATTCTTGTAACATTTTTGATGTGCGAACAAAAAACTCCTGCTCAAATAAGGAACGAAATCGTTGTCGCCCACCAAAGTGACGGAAATAAACAGAGAATGCATTAGTCCTTCCATGGCTAGGTCTGAAAACCCAGTACTTGGAAGGCCTCAACCTGGTTTCACCCCTAAAAATCCTGAAAGCTAATATGATATCATGAACAACTCTCCGATATGTGATGCTTTCAAGATCAAGAATTTTCAACCTCTCTTCATAACTAGGAAGTAATCGGGGGTAAGCTGGATTAGGAAAACAGCGGTAGAAAAGCAGTTTTGTGAACACTTTTTGAACCTTCTCCAATGCCTGCTTGTGCTTCCTCAGGGAGGGGCTCCAAACTTGAGTCGCATATTCGAGAACAGGAATAACAAGGGCTTTATAAAGTCTCAACAATCGCATCCCTGGTGACCGCTATGTCTTACAAATTATCAGGAGCTTGAAGCAGCACCCGGGTAGTATGATGTCGACGAGAAGATTTGGGTTGCAATGGCGCCCTCTTAATAGCTCTGATATTTTCCAAAATATATATGCACGCTATGATAATATACTTTGAAAAAATTCCCAAAGTGCTAGGAGATTGATGGGCATTAGTCCTTGCTTTTTGACACATTTTCTTGCTCAGTACTGCAAGAAAGTACGCGTAACGCATTCACATTTAGATATGATGATTCCTAATGTATGCCACGTTATGTGGCCATCCGCTACAAATTTACCTAGCCGAAAATGCCTGCCATGTGTTTTTGTAAGAATTGGATTTATCAAAATACTGCTTCTGCAGAGCAATTAAAATTTTCAGTATTTACAATTCACTTCGTAGCTAAAGATACTATGAATATTTCACAACACTTTCATACAATGTAGAGAAGGCTTTGCGCTATCATAACGTAGTAGTTGCGTTTGCCAGCAACCAACAACAATAGAATTTGCGAATATTATCAGCGACCATCTGTCTTGAGATCGAATTTGAAAGCTATAGAAGCGCAGCGACCGCTGAGTTTTAGGCTAGATTTTTGCGTAAGTCTTCTACATAAGCATCGAATTAAAGTCATCGATGAAGCAATTGCAGTACTTTGAACTATGATTTTTCGATCCGTTCGCGCAATTGCATCCAAATTTTCAGTATGCGAGTGCACTTGACCACAAAAGTCTCGAAATTTTTCCCCCAAACTTTTGAATAATCTTTGTAATATGTTATAGCCAAAAGCTGGCTCTATCATACAGCACATTTGCCTATAGGTCATAGTTTGGCGAGCACTACTTAGCGATGTTAATATGACAGTGCAGTGGTGGTCCGAGGGGGGGGGGGCGGGGTGGGCGCGCCCCCCCCCCCGAGAGTGGGTCGCGCAATTTTTGAAACTTACCTATATGGATTATAAAAATGTGCAAACGACTTGTTTATTTTTGTAAATAATTAAAATAATTTTTAAAATTTTTTAAAATTCAAATTAGCCTTATAAAAAAATTTTTTTCGGAGGCGTGGCTATTAAGGGTTGGGAAACCGCAAAAATTTTGAGAAGTACTCCTAAAATATTTTCGGAGTGCGTGGCTAACGCCACGCACCTTCATTTGAAAAAAAATTTTTCCGCCCCCCCGGTCCGAAATCCTGGGACCGCCACTGTGACAGTGGGACAGTTTACTTCCTGGACAAAGCAACACACTCAACTTTTCTGACAAGCAAGTGCAGCCTTGGGCTCAGCTGTTCCCGACAGTTTGTTTTTTGAAGTCTCAAGTTCATCAGTCTCAAGAGTCTTAAGGGATACAAAACAACAAAGTGCGAGGGTATCCGCGCACACTTGTTGCTAATCTCGCTTGCAACCTAAGAATATCTCTTGTTCGTATAAGATAGAATGAAGAATTCTCTCACAATGCAGTCCTTGCAGCGGCTACAGCGGCTTACGACTACAGCAACGCAGAGATCCTCGAAATGTCAAGCGTCCAAGGCATCTCGTGGATCTCTGCGTGGTTTTTCAGTTTTTCAAACTTTACTGATCTTGCCGTGGATGTTTGGAAAATTAAAAGTTGCTGCGTTGCTGTAGTCGTAAGCCGCTGCAGCCGCTGCAAGGACTGCATTGTGAGAGAATTCTTCATTCTATCTTATACGAACAAGAGATATACTTAAAGGCAGTGTCCAGGCTAAACCTAACCCCCTCCGATTAATGTCGGTTCTGAATGTAGGCCCCAGAAAAGGGGCACCTGCGTTGGTCCGGTCTTCTAACGTTGTCTCTGAATGGAGATAAGGGGCCTGGAAGTCCCTGGCTGGGCGGAGTCTGATATCAGACTCCGCCCACCAAGGACTGCTCACTACCTTGTCAATACGTGCCTCCCGACACGTATTGACAAGGTAGTGAGCAGAAGCTGCACACTGCCATGTCAGTACGTGTCTGCACCCATGCAGTTGCAGCTCCTCCCCGCTGGCATGCCGACGAGGACGAGCGATTTGAAACTCGTCCGCGCCCTCAAGACAGGGACCCCAGAAATCGTGATTTTTGTAAATTTTGGAGAGTTTGAAGTTCGGAACTGTAATCAGGGCCACAGGAAGGCCTCAGAATGACGAAAACATGGGGGGCCAAATTCTGGGTGGACGCTGCCTTTAAATATTACTGGACAAACGGCGTATTGGTTGCAAGCGAAATTGGATTCTCTAGAAATTTCTATCGTCCCTTTAGTACTTACGATTTTTGTAGGCGTATGTTTTATATCGATCAAATGATTGCCGGCGTCTTGGCGAAGATTTCGTACATTACTAGGTATCATTTCATGTTTATTCTGTGTTTGCATATGCTACGTATTGCGCGTTCTATTCTAGAGTTCGTTGTCCGTTTTGTATAACGGGTTATGAGAAAGAGCGTGTAAATGTTTCCAATGTCCAAAGATGTAAAGTACAAAAAATGTTGGAAACCTCACTGAAATGTGCCCCCGTTCCGACAAAATCAGGACGGAGCACGAGCACGCAGTGTGAGCAGCCAGACATCTTGCAGTGTCTCGTTTTTATGTGGTCAAGTTAGTTTTTGCGTGTTTCGAGCAATTATCGAGGTTGACACACAACACGACTGTCGAGAGCTGGCAATGAGCCAAGACCATAGCACGAACGAGCGTCCCCACCCACCAGATAGAATTCCTGGGACTGCCACTGTTCCTCATATTATACCGCTATTTCTCCTATTGTCAGGACAAAAGCAATATGTACGGTACACGAAAAACTTTGTAGTATCGTCCTTTCACCCCGTTGTAGCGGGCACGCAGCCTCAGACGCTCTCCTGCGAAGCGGTTTTGACCGCGGCGCAGGGTCGATACGGGTGATCAGCTGTTTTTCCGTCCGTTGTCACAGCATTTGGTGAGTTTTGGATAGTTCCTGTATCTTTTTGTTTGCAGACTGCAACAAAAGGATGGAAGGTAAGTTGAGGATGTCTCCAAGTTTATTTATAGGTGAAAACTTGATTACATGAACGAAAATTCGAAAAAACTTACTGACATCGCGCTTAGATCGGATAGTCAGCTTTTTCAGCAAGCAAATCACTTATAAATAAACTTAACAGAGTTTCTCGACTTACCTTCCATCCTTTTGTTGCCACCTGCAAGCAAAAATATAAAGAAATTATCAAAAACTCACCGATTCTTGTGACAGCGGACGGAAAAACAGCTGATCACCCGTATCGACCCTGCGCCGCGGTCAAAACCGTTTCGCGGGAGAGCGTCTGAGGCTGCGTGCCCGCTACAACGGGGTGAAAGGACGATACGAAGGCATAAGTAGTGAAAAGAAGTACCCTAAATTCACGCGTACAAGTCGCACCTTTTTCGATTTTTCGACTAAGCCGCTTTAAATTATTTCGGAAAGCGATTTGATTATGCCGTACGATTCTCTTAAACAATATACAGCAAGACATGGGGTCCTTTGGTTGCGAAGTTCTTTGGCGTATTTGGGATGGTCGATTTTGGAAAAAAATCCCTCGCGCCTGGTGCGCGTGAAATTAGGGTAATTCCAAAAATAAGAAGAAGGATGTGCACCCGCTTTGATCAATGCACTGATAAGTTGCTTTTCTGTGTTGCAGTTGCCCAGGTCAAAAATGAGAAAGTTTCTGTAGAAAATGCTAATGTTCGGGTGGAGGACTATATGTATGTCGCCGAAAAAGGGCGGTCCCGCGGTCATTTGTTAATACGCATCCTTGTATATGCGCAGACATGTGTTCCTGCAGGGAATCCGCGCGGGACTCTTCCAGATTCGGCGACATTTAGTCCCCCACCCCTAATGTTCAGCTCGTGTTGGTATAACGAACAACTCGAGCACGCTTTGCACACATCGCCCAAACAAGGTGCTTGTGTGCTTAACAAGTTAGAACCTGAGAATCATCCTTCTAACAATAAGATTATCTATCACGGGAACCAGACAAGTTCAAGCTTGCTTGACATATGTGAAAAAACTCCTAAAATCTCTTAATGTTAGTTTTAGAATAGATTATATCACTTATTTTGATGCACAGTCTATTTAGGAGGCTCGAAAACTTGCGCTTAATTTGTTCAACAGGCCCAAACTTGTTCCTCCTAGTGTTTGCGTGGTAAAACATGTGGAATGGCGTGAAGTACAAGTTCTAACTTGTTGAGCACCCGTGTCATACCGTCCTCAAGTCTCCCATCATTCACTCACCGAGACTGGAAGATTCGCGTTCTCAACATATTCGTTCTTCTAATCTTTCTTTCCGGGAAGTTTCATGCATCTCAATTTTGTGCTCAGATTTATACTATTGGATATGAGTTTGTACTGGGAGAAACTCACTTGAAAACAACACAGATCTAAGGACATAGGCACCTCTATTGAGAAACAAACTCCTATTGTTGCTAACCGAGACCAAAGGATGACGGTCTTTGAATCAGTGGTACCCGCGCAGAATAGTGCCGCCGCGCAAGTCGACAGCGTAGCGGTCGCTGCAAGTCAGCTGATCTGCGTCATCGATTTCGTTGCGAAATACTAGGCTGACGCGTTCGCTGTTGCAGCAGAAGGTTGTACTTCCTTACTTGAGGTTGTTGTTTCCATTGTATTTGCGGTCATTTTCCCAGTCATACTTCCTTTTCTTTTATTGAGTGGATAGGCCGCTTTTCTCGTATGCTTTGCATGAAGGCCGCGCTGCGTGCAAAGTTCCGGTTGTTCTGCTGCTTTAAAGTTCAGAAAAATAACTGCATTCTTACCATGTGATACTTGTCTGATTATTAGTCACTGAAGTGTGTCCTGAGCAGATGTTATCACATCATTTCACCTTTCAATTCATCGATCGCGTCGGCTTGTCGCTGCCGCTTGCTGTGCTATTCGTTCGCCGTTGGTGTCAACACATTCGGTCTCTGGCGCTCTATGCATAACGCGTCGCATCTGTCGCTCTCACGATCTTCTTCCTATTGCGATCGAACGCTCTATGATCAGATCAGCTGGTTACCCCTTTTTGCGCTTTCCACGCACACTCGCTCACACACACACGCACAGTCACATGCGGCTTCGTTCACGTCTCAGATCTGGTGTCTGTACGTGTGCTTATGTTGCCCGTGTGTTTTCCAGTAAATTCTTTTGTGTTCCGCCGAATTGTGTCGTTCGCGTTAACCACTTCAGTTTCGTGTGCTTAGTAAATAGTATGGATGTATCGAACTTCTTTTCAGACTAGTGCGATAATGAAGTGGGCTTACAAAGAGGAGAACAACTTCGAAAAGAGACGTGCTGAAGGTGACAAGATCAGGAGGAAATATCCGGACAGAATTCCCGTGAGTGATATTACTTTCTGTGCACTTCTCTCTAAGGTCAGCTTCCCGATAATCGAGTGATCGAATTAAGTCGCGATTTAGAGACAAGGAATGTAGCGCAAGCAATGCACGCTTTGTTTTGTATCCCATTCTTTAATCGTTTCCGGGGTAAATTGGGTCCGCACGTGTTTCGTCATCGTTTTTGTTAATTTTTTCAGTCAGCGCTTTTATCAGCTTTTTGAAGAACTTTGAACCGAATTAATCGGTGACTCATTATTTCGTTGGCCGGGAAATTTTGAAGTTGTAGTTTGCGGAGTATCACAGTCCTAATCATTAGTGGTTTTTGATGCGTCGTTGTGATGTGACACATTTATTTGGGTTGAAGGATTATTTTCGTTTGTCTGGCATGTTGACCACTGCTGCACGTTGTATATTTGGGCTGATGATGGAATTCAGGTGTTCTCTTTGAAATTTTTCTGCATTTTTTTGTGGTTTTCCATAACTGAATAAGGCTAAGGGAAGCTGACACGGAGATGTTCGGAAATATAATTTCAGTCGATGATTTTCATACCAAACAGTGTGCTGTCTAGGTCATCGTAGAGAGAGCCCCTAAATCTCGTCTCCGAGACCTTGACAAAAAGAAGTACTTGGTGCCATCGGATCTCACAGTTGGGCAGTTTTACTTCCTGATCAGAAAGAGGTTGCTTTCATTTTTTACGTTTGCTTTTACAGTTCTTTTATATCTGTTTTGCAGAATACATCTTCGACCCGAAGATGCGCTGTTTTTCTTTGTGAATAACGTCATTCCACAAACCATGACAACGATGGGTCAATTGTACCAGGTAAAATCGTCACTGTAGTGTTCGATTGTAATTAACGCAAGGGGGGGGGGAGGGTGTATGCGTCCATCTGGCACGAGCTGGGTCACCGTAGTATTGATTCAATGCGCCTCATTATGCAGTGAGGGCAGCTGCACTAGGCGAGGTCGCAGGGGTAAAATTTTGAAGGCATGTTGCAAGGTTTGTGTATGGTTCTCTTTTCGCGCAAATCGAATTTGGAAGGTAAAGATGGCGGCGGGGGTACCCAAGGTCAAAATAGTGAAAACGGAAAGCGCTTTGTTGCATTTCTTTGTTCACAACGAATTCTGTTCGAAAATTTTTGAAATTTACCCCTTTGCATGTTAAGGTAACTATAAAATCCTTTGGATTACGGATTTCGTAACATCTTGCATAGATAACGTTTAGTTTTTTGTTGTTGGTAAGGAGTAACCGGTCTTGGCTAGTCCTTCGTGTTCTACAGCGCTTGCGTCCCTGCGTAAGATTCGCCATGAAGACCAGTTTACAAAGAATCTTTTCTGCGACACATTTAACCTCCGACTACATAAATAGCTTTCATAACAGAAGCGGCAGAGAAAAAAGAAGAACACATTACAAATGAGAAAAAGCGCTGCATTTGACAATATTGCGAAATTCAAGGAAAATCAGTCACTGTGTTGCGAAATCTCTGCTTGCATCAGTGATTGCGACGAGATAAGCGCGCATGTGCTACACTGACAGTCGGTTTTTTATTGTAGGGTAATGGTGAGGATACCAGTGTGTGAGTCATCGCTTATTCACCGATGTTTTGAGCATTACAAAGGTGGACACATGGTGCAACCTATACGTGAGCCATCGATTGAGCAATTGCGAAAAAAGTTTCAAGTTCATAAAAAACGCTTAAAACGTTTCGGGCCATCCGCTGCTAGTTACGCATGGGTCATGTAATGTAATAACTTATATGAGAGGTGGTGAAAACAAATTCTATGCCTAAGCGTGAAGCGACCGCAGTTTACTCTGGTTGAAATGTTATTCATCAGAGCTCCGCTTACCGAATTGTAAACATTCGCATCATGTAATATGAATCAGTTCATTATGCAATGAAAAAAGTGGAGATTCAGCAATAAAGTTGACCATTGTAGTGAAAAGAGATTCGGTTTCCGGCTTGATGTTGCTAGAATCGAGTTTGTTTTGCGTACTTTTCTGATTCTCGAATGATAGGTTTCGGGAAATTTATTTTTCTTTTGTCAGCAATCGTCAGTGTTTTTGCTTGTCTGGTTCCTACCACCTAAGTCAGCAATTCCATTCCGATAAGCGCTGACCTGATTCCCTTATGCCGCGTTTATCACTTTGTACCATATAAACAAGGCTAGCAAGCGAAAAATGACCCACCGTTTTACTGCGAACATGACACAGCGTGTATTTATGCAGTAAAAGGGTATCAGTCTGGGAATGTTAGTCGCTATTCTTATTGAAACGAAGCAGGCGCTTTTGTGAGGAACTTGATAGGGAGCAAAGGGGAGGGAATTGAGTGAGAAGTGGTCGGGATGATCTTTGATTGGTGGCGTGTTTTCACCGATTTGTCCGGAGTATTTTTCCATCAAGCGATTATTCAATTTATATTTTGTGCACTGTCTTTGTCGGCCATAACGTCTCCTGAGTAACTTATAGTTTCTGCCATGTACTGCTCTCAAAATGTCGACTTTTAGGACCATCATGAGGAGGATTTGTTCCTTTACATCGCATACAGCGACGAGAGCGTCTACGGAGGCAAATAGGCTGACGAAGCTTTGGAAATCAGTAGTGGCCCTATTTGCTAGCATTATCGAATTGACCTCACATGTTCTGGTATCATTCAAATTACAACACACGGTTTTCTTACGTTTTCTCCCTCCACAATGAGCTAACTGACTTGTTGAGGCTGTTTGTATTTTCGGCCACTAAATCTTGTTAACTTTTAGCAACATGAGGTCTAAAAATCGTAAAAAAAAAGAAATATTGAAGTCTTCTTCTGCATTCTTTGCAAGTGAATTGTGCTTTTTTCTTTTTTCTTCTCTCTTTTTCTAAATCGGAGTTGTCTGTAGCTTGTTTAGTTTGTAAGGAGTTCACGTGGACGAGCGTAAGAATTGCGGAGCAATCCGCTTTTTCTTCAAAGGACATGGGCTCCCGGGTCTTCCTTCGATAATAGGCACTAAATTCCATACCACTGATTTTCTGCATCCGTACTGTATATACGTATGTTTTTTTCGTAACTTCTGTACAGTTTCATCATTTTTTATAAGCGTACTGGAATAAAGTTTGAAAATCCATTTCGTCTAGATGTCTAGCAGTCTTATGTTTGTTCGGTAAAGGCATAACGTTATTTCTTGAGATTTCAAGAAGTCTTGGCTTGGATTTTCCGAAGCCGGATTGTGTGTAGATTGTTTAGTTTGTACGGAGTTCGATGGATCCTGAGTTGCACCCTTTCCAGGCGCGACTCAGGATCCAGCGGTTTTTATTTTTAGTCCAAAATTTCACGTATTACTCATCAACTTTTTGGTAACAAAACACCAGAGCAAAGGTGCTCGCAATGAGCGAAGTGTACAGGGAGCATTTCATTATATCTTCTTCTGTCCCAACAGATCCATAGCAAACGCAAAGCAACACAGTCTCAAACTCACAAGATGGGCGTTATTCGATTGAATGGTTCTGTATTTATGTAAAGAATTTTAAAACAGCAAAAGTTCAGGTTTTGGAGTTCGACCTTCAACACCACATTCTTTTGACAGAGAGATATCCCTAATCCATATTTATGTATAGAGTTTTGCACAGATTTTTTGCGTGTTTCTATGTTACATTCATCTTTTTCAGTCTAGGCGATTACCGACAAAGGACCACACTTACCAATTCTGAGAGAGGGAGCCCTCAAAAAAGATGCATCAATTATGCATCGACGCCGTAATCGTCTCATTTGCGCGCATTTCGAGAGTCATTCGAATTTTCTTTTACTCCACGTCCCCCCCCCCCCCCTCCCAGCTTTTTCCCTTATCTCTACTACACATGTGATAGTACAGCAATTCCTTATCTCAGCTTTGTTATCCATTGATTTGAGCGTGGTTCGCTAAAGAACTGTTACATAATGCTCAAATCCAAAAATATGAGAACAGCTAAATTGTGTCGCCTGCTTCAAGGTTTCTCTGACAATGAGTCATCAACTCACGGCAATGGCTAGCAGGTTGGCAACATGCAACAACATGTTAGCAGCAGCGCGGGGCCATTAGTTTGAGGTTAACATGTTGTTGCGTGTTACCAACATGTCCACGCGTGCCACACGTCAGAGACGCAGAGTAAGAAGCAGCAGACTCCTAGGGATCGGCCATACTATTCCTGCTATACCTACGACTCCTGCGATTCCTGTGAGTCCCGCACAGTTTAGACGCCGCTTAAATGAGCGTGTTGCGTGTTACGTGTTGTTTTACGCAACACGCGCTCATGTAAGCGGCGTCTAAACTGTGCGGGACTCACAGGAATCGCAGGAGTCGTAGGAATAGCAGGAATAGTATGGCCGATCCCCTAGAGTGCAGATTCTGCTGCTCCCTGCTCTGCGTCTCTGACGTGCAGCACGCATGGACATGTTAGCAACATGCAACAACATGTTGACCTCAACGCTATGGCCCCGCGTTGCTGCTAACATGTTGTTGCATCTTGTCAGTATAGGTTCACGAACAGGGCCCGGCACGAGTCGGTTTCTAGGGTTTCTTAAAACGAAGTCTCCCCTGAGTTTCGGAAGTTTTACGAGTCCCCTTTGACCTACCTGCTTAGGAGAAGATGAAAACAATAAAGATTTACTAGTCTGAAAGAAAAGACGTAAGATAAGAGTGAAAATGCAAATTGGAGCTGAATACTACGCATGCGCAAGACTTTAGCATTAGAGTGCGATATTTAACAAAGCGAGAAGAAATGAATTTAAAAAACAAAGGAAAGGCAATGATATGTAAATGTCTTCATGCTCAGGGATAGATTTTTGACCGGGGAATCCGTCCATGCTGAAAAGATCCGAAACTTATGTGAAGTGGCGAAAATATATGCTCCAAATGATCTCAGATCGTCTGGAAACGATTAGATCGTCTGAATTAGAAAGAATTAAAATTAGATCGTCTGGACCTTCACATAAGTTTTCAAGTCTTTTTACATAATACTTTCGTAAATAATTTTTTATACATACAGTTCAGTTTTGGTGTCATATGCTTCTGTGTGCGTTGTAAACAAGCAATTTGTTCATTTAAGCCTCGCTAAATTGCGCGCACTTTTCGCCACGAACGATAGAGCATGTCAATCGTGTGATAACCTGTCCGAAAAGCTTGTGTTCGACTAAACGGCGCTTATTCTTGGTGCTCGGTTCCGACTCGTCAAAAACGATATCCCCTCTGCTGTTTGCTTCAAAAACGAAATCCAGCCTGCTTCCAGACGATCTGTGCTGGGCCCTGTTCACGAAGCTGTGTATCTTTCATATGAGACTAGAACACACGCAACATCGTCAAAATTGGGCGCTCCGCTGCATGTTTTACCCAAGATTGAGCGTGGGATGAAAAGGGTTGCCTGCAGGTCGTGTCAGAGGGCTGCATTTCAGGACGTGCGGCGGCCAATTTGCCGCCCGCCGCGCTCAGACATTGTGTCCCAGATTAATTCCCCGGAAGTGGCACGGAGGGGGACCAGTGGAGTGGAGGTGAGGGCAGATATCGTTTGTTCTCCAGCAAGACCATAGGTACCACGTCATCTCGCTGCCTTTCGCTGTTTTGAACGTGTTAACCTCGGGCGGTTCCGTTGAAATCTCAGAAGGAACGTGTCGAAAAGAGTGAAAGGCACGTCGCACCACGTAGGAACGGTGGCTCACATGGGCACTTTTCTGGGGCACGCAGGATACATGACCCGATACCACAGACGCTGTTTGAGGCAGGTCCAGGCAAATCTGGACATATGTGTCTCACGTGGATAGTAATCTTAGGGTCCCAACTGTTGTTAATTATGATATTATTAACGACTGTCTTCGATTATGTGAATGTATCTAGTCTATCATGGACAAGTAGTAGATTGTCCATGCACCTGTTTAGCCGCCGGGTCACCTTCATGGCCCTTGATACACTCGGCGGCGCCTACTTTCAAGTCGAAACTCTACTGCTTCGATAGCGTTCCTTGCCAGAAGTTGGCATCCAGGCTATACACACCCAATTTGGCTGTATAAAAGAGCCTGGATACCAAGTTCTGGGGTGTATCCCATTACTTGTGACTATCAATCACGCAGTCGCCGCGCACGACAGGCTCAGATGCGCAGAGAACTCGGTTAGCCGACTCGCAAAGCCATACTGTTCCTTCTTTCTAAATGTTTTTACAATACTACACCAGTTTTTATTGTTTGATGAATGTTTGGGCACAAAACTTGTAGGAAAAGGTACGATAGTGAAAGAAAAGATGGAAATTACCATGTTTCTGATCAGGAAATGTGAATTTTTTGTTCATTATAATAACTTGACTTTTAAGCATTTCCTCTGGGACTTCCCTCTGGCCCTGCTGCCTATTGCCTTTACTGTAACGCCGCGTCGCGACATTTTCTAACTGACACCCACAAGTAATGGGCGCCCGCCCCCCCCCCCCCCCAAGTTCTGGAGTCGTCACTATCGCCCAGTCGCTGTTCGTCACTATTCCCTGTGAATAAATTCGTTGTTGCCACCCATCTTGGTCTTTGCCAAAGTCGTGAACTGCATACTCAAAGGCAGTGGCTTGGCAAATTCTCGACTCAAATTTTTCTGGTACTTCTCCCTTATCCGAACCCATTTTTTCAAAATGTTCTCATGAAATACGTGCTTCAGCCTAGAATTTTTTTGTCTATATCTGGCGGGGACTGTCTCCTTGCCACGTGTCAAGATCAAAATCAACACGTTTGAGACCAGTTTGACATGTTTTCAAAATCATTTCCGGTGAAGTACGGGGTATATGAAATGATTGTTCAGGGACCTTTTATAAAGGCAAAAACTTCCAAACATTTTTTAACACATTTTGGTGGCTTTCAACACTGATTTTAAAAATTCCTGCTTTTCACATTGTTTTCGCCATGCGAATTTAGCCGAAAAAATCTAAATGATGGCTTCCGGTACTTGCATGTCGAATATTTCGCCGTTTAGCTGATAGAACAATAGTCCACTTCTCTATTGTGTGAAAACCTATTGTGCTTATTGAAAGCAGAATGTCGTTTTCATGATAGACCTTATACACCGTTGACTAAAAATGAGGTCATTATTGAATAAAAACAGAACTTGGTAAAATTTGTCAAACTTGAAGATGACATTGTCGAATGCATAGGTGATCTATCCCGTCAAAAACCGTACCGACCAGAAATGACTTTCAATGCATTAGAGAACCAAGAGCTACAAAGGTAAATGCAGAATTAAACTAGTGTTCACATAAAGAGCTGATGACTGCTTGGTCAGCAGGCCGTACACCAGTTACTAAACTCCAACATCTTTTTATTGTACCCAGTGACTAGCACTTGACCTCAGAAGCTACAAAGGTTCTTATAAGCAGCCAACCTATCAATGATGGCTATGCACCCATCCTTTCTAATCAAATGTGGAATTTTGGCGACAATTTAAAACGCCTCTAATGTTTTGCGCATCAGGATTTCGCATTTGGGTGCTAAGATCATGACCTCTACAGCTATATCTGCTTCATTATGGAAGTGCCTGCGATGCAGCCCAGTGGAGTTGCCTTCGATTTTTTGAGCCCGTCTAGATGTTCCTTGCTTCGAATACATAGGGCGCGCGCCGTGTCGCCGATATACGTGCTTCCAAATGCAACTCCCTCCTTGCCGAGCGGACATATTACACACCCTGGGGTCATGCACAGCCGATAAGCGCGATTACGTACGAGCTGATCTAAGGTTGGGGGGAGGTACGTCTACGACTCGTACCCTATCTTGTAGATCCACTCTTGATGTAGTAGCCTCCTTATTGCCTTGCTGAATTTCTCCGAATTATACGGTAAGCAGGACGGAATTTCTCCCTCGGTCCTTGGAGTCTCAACATCGACTAAGTGATGTTCGACGGAATAATGTTTTCTGGGCTTGTATCCATTAGATATAGCCAATACATGGCCGGCCAAATTCAGCGAATAAACCCTTTGTTGCCTGCCGGATGAAACCCTCACGCTGTCCTGTACATTTTGGCGATGATGGACTTCTTGACTTGCGCAGGGTGAGCGGGAATATAGTGCACCAAGGCATTCTTGCTACTTGGTTTACGTTACCATCGTTCTTGAAT